AGGAATCTGAAATAATAAATACAGCAGCCAAAACAGTTTTCTGTTTGGGTAAGTTTTACTAGTGGAAATATGAAAGGGAATGCTTTGGGGGGCTTTTTCAGAGGAAAAAGTTCTAATTTATCTACAAATTAAAGTAGTAAAGTATGAATCACCTGCCTCCCCCTCACTGGTGAAAAGAACTGTTCAAGAACTAGTGCACCCAAAAGAGCAGCTAGCAGGAAAAAGAGCTTCAGGAAATATAAGCACAATCATAGAAGACTTCAGATAGCAAAATGGTGATGAGACTTCTATGCTTTGCCTCCTTTTTTTGAGGAATCTAATTTAAGAAACAAGACTTTACACAACTTCACTCTGGATGTCTTCTAATCCAAGGCTTGGAAACAATGGTAAAGTGTCAGATCCCACAGATCCACTTATATGGCAACCTTTGGGATATAGCCAATGACAGGAAGGAAAAAATAATTCCACCATGGCTTTTGTAAAACCCGGAGGAAGTTTAACCTTGGCATCTTCCAAAGGATGTTCAGATGAAAAGACTGTGGGAATGATACTCCAGTCAAATTGACTTAGGTTATTGAAGCAATGTCTATTATTTGCCTACTATCCTTTGCCTAACTGAGAACTTCTAAACTCACTCCTGGCTAGAATATACTCATCTGAGAGTGGACTATAATTTTTCCCAAATACTACTTCCCATATACATTTTATTTTAAAACCCTGTCAATTTTGAGAAGCTTGCCCTAAATTTGGAATCAGAGTTTCTCCCTCTTTGCCAATCTCCCTGATTTACATTCTAGCTCAAGAACTAATGTCAAAATATAATCTGTATCAGTGGTCCCCAACCATTTGAGGCTGCCGGGCGCCAGGGGGCATGGCTGTTCACCTGCCGGGTGCCAGAGGGCGGGGACACTTGTGCGCCCGGGGGCGGGGCCCCCCCATGCACCGCATGCCCGGGGGCGGGTTTCCCCCCCAAGCGCCACGCGCCTGGGGCCAGCGCCCCCCGCCAAGTGCCGCACACCCAGGGCCAGCGCCCCTCCAATGCCACGTGTCCGGGGCCAGCGCTCCCCCCCATGCGCCGCGCGCCCAGAGAGCGGGCGGCCAATTCGCGGCGCTCCCAGGGCCGGCGCTCACTGCGCGCCATGCACCCGGGGCCGGCTCTGGCACCATGCATGCGCCACGTGCCTGGGGCCAGGCCAGCCCCGAGCACTTGGCTGGCACACACAAATGCCCCCGCGGGCGCCATGGCACCCGCGGGCACTGTGTTGGGGACCATTCTATATATTTCCTTAAACACCATAGGCTGCGTCTAGACCAGCAAGTTTTTCTACACTTGCCAGCTGTCTACACTGGCCACTTGAATTTCCACAAGAACACTGATGATCTCATGTAAGATTGTCAGTGTTCTTGCGGAAATACTATGCTACTCCCATTTGGGCAAAAGCATTTGCACAAGCGGGCCAGTGTATACAACGTGGTATTGTTTTGCACAAAAAAGCCCCGATCGCGAAAATGGCGATCGGGGGTTTCTTGCGCAAACCCGTGTCTAGATTGGCACGGGCGCTTTTCCACAAAAAATGCTTTTGCGGAAAAGCGTCCGTGCCAATCTAGACGCTCTTTTCCGCAAATGATTTTAATGGAAAAACTTTTCCGTTAAAAGCATTTGCGAAAAATCATGCCAGTCTAGATGTAGCCCATAACGTATAAGCATCACATCTCTGCATCATACTTGAAAAGCACTAAGACTGTCCACATCTGAGTAGGTAAATAGAACACAACGCTTATAGTACAGGCATTTACATCTTTATTGTAAAACAGTCTTGATGTATAAGCAGTAGCTGACTTTCCAATGTTAATAACTCAGCCAATACTTTTTAAATATAAAAAAAAAAAAATCAGAGGAACTGGATGGCTCGGAGGATTATTCACGCCTGTTCTTTTCAAATTATCCATATACACACCATATGGCTCAGGTTATCGGTGTGCTACAATTACCACCATTTACTAGCTAATCTGCTGCATACAGGAAAGTTGATAATCTCAGTCCAATCTCTGTTAGACAATTGCCTACATCATCACATTTGTCACTATGTGCAGTCATATCAAATAGCAAGCTAGCTGCTGAATGGGCATGGAGACTTGATTACACTTTCACCTCTTAAACTTGATTCCTAGGTCACACTTGGGGTCTTTAGTAGGGAATGGAGGCTTGCACTACTTTTGCCCAGGTTCCCATTCTCTTTAAATGCAGAGGACTTCAATCTCTAGTGCCGCCAAACTGGTAATTCTGATTAGCAAGAAACTCAAGTAAACCACGCAGACCAGACAAATGGACTTTTTTCTTTTTAAAAGTCTCAAGAGGTGTAGCTGTGTTAATCTGTAACTTTAAAAACAATGAGTAGTCCTGTGGCATTTTATAGACTAACAAACACACAGAATCATGACCTTTCATGGATAAGACCCACTTCATCATACCCATGAAAGCTCATAATCCCATATTTTTGTTAGTCTCTAAGGCTATGTCTATACAGCAGCATTATTTCGGAATGACATCAGTTATTCTGAAATAACATAGTCTGTGTCTACAGAGCAAACAGCTATTTCCACATAATGTTAAAATATTGTCAAGCTAGAGGACTTCTTACTCTGACTACTGTAACCCTCATTTTACAAAGAATAAGGGAAGTTGGAGGAAGAGTGCTCTAACTTGGAATTCCTGAAGTGCTGTGTAGATGCTCCAAATTTTGAACTAGGCTATTATGACTTAAGTTGTGCAATTGACATAGCTCAATTTGAGTAGCTTATTTTGGCTTTAGCTCTATTGTGTAAATGTACCCTAAGGTGCCATAGGACTACTTGTTTTTTCTTTTACACACACTTAAATATTAAAGGCCAAAGAGATTGTGTTTTAATTCATTCCAATAATAGGTGCATTTTTAGCCTCTAATGGGTTTTTAAAATTGACTTGAATAAAACCCTGTAAACGAGAATTTATAAGGGACAGGCTTTACAGACTCAACTATAATAAAAGAGTTGGTAAAGGTTATTTGTAATTCAAAGTGAACAGACTAATGGGATGGCTCTCTAATTCATAAGGGTAACTCACTTTTATAGACTGACTGAAAATTAATTAAATCCAGTGCTGGGATTATGCAGATGCTGATGGATTTTGTCAACTGTATTCAAAGTACAGTAGCATTTGGGCACAGTGCCTGTTTTCCTACTTTTACAAAATGATGAGTAGTGTCCTTAATATAAAATCATACAGATTTTTTTTCGCATTACTCTCCAATATACCCTAGTATATCACAGGTTTTCTAGGAAGTTTAAAATGGGCAGCGTGTAATACTAGTTAAACCACCCAGAGGAGGGTAAAGGCCAAAAGAAAATAAAAAAAAGTAATTTAGGTTTCAGTCATATTGTGTAATGATACATTTAGTGTACCAAGTGGTTTGCAAAATAGTGTAAAAAGAAGCCCTGGTTGACAGAGTCAAGTTCCTTGGCAATATAAGTGATTTACTTCTAGGGAATATATTCATGATTTACACAAGAATAGTTTCTTTTTGTCCTTGAAAAAAAGTAATTGAAGGGAGACAAATGTACAAATCAAATTTAAATGATCCTTATTGAACTTGTGATATGATGTCTTCTAAGTAGCCATAGCATTTTCATACAAAAAGTTAGAAGGCAACTTTTGAAGGAAACTGTAGGACTTAAATAGTAAGAGCAAAGGGGAGTAAGTTACAAGCTGGTATGCTATGCACTACTTACCTTCAAAAGTCAAATAAAACTTTCCTCTGTCAAACCAAACGAGGGAAGGCTGTTCATTCTCTGTATGGCCAGGAGTTGAAGCGGGTTGGGAAAGGTTAAGGAGAGGGAGAGAGAAGGACACAGTGTGAGTCACAGAGCAGGTAACTTATCTCACTATGGGGGAGGGAAGAGGCACTGCAAGCTGTTAACGAGCAAGGAAAAGAGGGATGGTGTTTAAAACTCTATTTATTGGTTTAGAAAACAGAAAGCAAAAAAGCAAGCTATGGAAGCCTAGATGGAGGGGTGCTTTTGCTCGCTTGATCATAACGCCTATGTGTGGTGTAGAAAAGGCTTCCTATTCATGAAAGCTGGGTTAGTGTATTTAATTGTAGTAGGTTTGACAAACTTTGTAACTTGCATTATTTTCTTCATTTCCAGTGGTGCTTAAATAGGATTAGCAAACTGTATTGGGCAGGATGCTGTACTTTACATTGTCTGTTGGATATGTTATAGTCAAATGCATGTATTTTTAAAAATGGAATGTTAGGTCATAAAATTCCAGGTTGCGTGCCTGGAGTAGAAAGCGTCTAATTGATTGTTTTTCCTCTTCCCACCAGAATTGTCAGTTTATTTGGACTCATACCACCTTAAAAGTACTGGAAAAAGAACATTATAGATATTATGTACTGTTGAAATAATTAGAAAATATATTTTTGAGCAGTTAAACGTATTCCTTCAATTTAAATTCACGAAACAGTAGGATGTCTCCTCTCAATCTTTTTGGTCACTGAGAAACTGTCATGCAATGTGCTGCTATTTTTTGTGGCACAAGTTCCATTTTTAAATGTATGGATGTCATATGCACTGGACATTCATGGTGGTTGAAGAGAAAGCATGTCCATTTTTTAGGCATTCTTATGAGACAATGGCTTGGAGTTGTATTCCAGATTTCTTGAAACCACTCTGCTAGTACAGTACCTGCAGGCGTTTCACAGCGCCTTTCAAACGAGGGCAGTTTGCCAATAAAAGCATCATCTTCTGATACCATGAGCAAAAGAAATGTAAGAGACAAAAGAATGAAAACAAATCCCAAATGAAATCAAGCAGTGCACTATATCATCAAAACGCAAAGAAGAATTTAAATGGAAAAAAAATGTAAAGGTCATTGAAATAAAAACGACGGAGACTTTTTCTTTTTACAACACGTTATTCAAACTGCACAAGCAACAACAAAGAACAAAACCCAAATCACAACAAGAGAAAAATAAAAAAAACAATTCTGTTCAATATTCTTTGGATAAGATCCATTAAATTGTAATCTTTGCAACTAGGAAAACAATCCTAACATCATAGCAGAGATAGTTAAAAGCTCTGTTCATTACTATATTTGGACTTGCACAGATACATAGAATAAGTGCACAGGGAATGTCTTTTGTATAATTATCTGAGTCTAAAGAGCAGCCCATGCCTCAACACAATGCAAACCCAATACTCTTTTTTTTTTTTTTTTTTTTTTTTTAATTTTTGAAAGACAAGGCCACTTACTCTGCCATAAGGCAGACCTGACGGGTTGTCAAATGTAAGTATAGGGCTCCCTCTTTAAGAGTCTAGTTCAGAAGTGCCTAGATAAAGTTTGGACTATGAGTCACTTCCCATATAGACTCTGAGCTATGAATGTTCCGCAACTACTACTCTTTTCTGTTGATGACACACAGCTGCCTTAAGGAAACCACTGACTGTTTGCTTTTCTCCTGTCACTTATTTGGAAGGACTACTTCACACAATGCAGTCAACCTGTGGGACTCATTGCTAGAGGAAGTTGTGAAGGCCAAAGTACCACTGAGCTAAATAGTTAGATAAGCTCATGGAGGATGGTTCCATCAATTACTTTTAGCTAAGACGGTCAGGAATGCAAGCTTATGGCCTGACTGCAAAAAGTTGTGACTGAATGAACCCTTGAGAATTGCTCTGCTATGGTCATTGCCTTAAAGTACCCAACAGTTTCCACTGTTGAAGACAGAATACTGGACTAGATGGGCCATTCCTCTGACCCAGTGTCACCATTCTTCTGTTCTTACTCCACATTTTGGCAGCAAAAACATATAGCTTTATTTGCTATAGCATAGCCCTACCTTTTGCCTCTGTCTCTATTAATTTGTAGCAAAAATCCACATCAGGTCAAAATGGAAGCAGCCAATGGCATATTCAGTGGCCACAGAAATAGCCACACATTAACCTTTTTATTACACTGGGGAATCCTGAAGTGGGTTGCAGTTGTATTCCATATGGCACTTGAATCACGTTTATATGAAATGACAACATAATAATCCATGAAGACTTAACCCATACATCTGAATTGTTCATAGTATGCCTCTCAAAAATCTTCCTACCTCTGCCAACATCCATGCACACCTCCATGTAACACAACAAGGATATATTTTGATTTTAAATTGATAGATAACCTCAATCACTCTTCAGAATCACTCTGTTTCTGGGAGAAAGCAATAAGCACTCCCAGGTGGCTTGTGACGTGGGACAAATGAAGGGGGACTTTGACAAAACAGATATTTATGCTCTCACATTCCAGCACTACTCAGGAAGAGGGTTCATGTGGTCCCAGAAGTAGAACATGAAATGGATTCTATGATTGTCCCATTACTGACTACAATGAATATACTAAAAAAGATGAGAGAAGACACTCATTCCTGATGCTAAAGAAAAGCCTGACTGTGCCTAGTAATTGCAAAATTTATTCTGTAACAATTCATCTGTGTTAAAATAGGAACCCTGTAATGAGGCCATGGCTGCTGATGAAGAAATTAGGCTCTCTCTTTCTAGTATGTACACTCCCTCATGCAAAAAGATCACTTCTTTCAAATTAGAGACCCAACATATGCAGGGACTATTAGAAAAAAAGGGAGCAGAGGCCTGCCAGAACTCTACCTTCTGCATTTGAGTTACCAAAAAGGAAGCAGCTTTCCTGAACAGGTACCTCTTCAAAGGTGTTGAAATCCCACAGGACAGAGGGGAGTTTGTGGATTAATATAGGACCCACTGTTTTTGATTTGCTCCAGGTGAAGTGTTGGTGCCCAGGGTCACTTAGGCAGCTTTTACAAGGCTGCATCTTCAAAGCAATTTAAATATTGGTTATTGGTTATTGGGATGTTATCTACCTACATCCATTAAAACTAAAAAACAAAACAAAAAACAAAACAAAACAAAAAAATGCCCACACTTTAAAAGCTTAAGCAGCATACACAGAAATTAATTTCCTGAAGGAACAAATCCAAGTTGGCACCATAGATCTTGTGATATGCATTTGTGCAGGTTCTCTTATTTTTAATGTAAGAATACTTTGTGCTCATAGTGCACAAGAACAATTTATTAAATTGATGAGGGAACTAACACAATACAATTAGGAATATCAGATTTTAAGCCCCATATTCAACAAAAGCTACTTACTTCTTGTGAGATTAACAACCAGCTTTTTAAACAAAAGAAATTTAGATAACTTGAAACAGTAATAATACACATCTTATTTCTGGATACTGCTTTGAACAAACCTCTGAACCTTTTGCCATTCACCTGTCCCTCAGAATAATTAACTTATACCAAAGTTATATACCAATAACCTTGATTCTGATGCTCAAAGCTGTAACCCTTACCTCCACCCGTATTGGTTTCATACCCCAAAAGTGCAATCCAACAATGGAAAGGGAAATTAAATCCACTAGTTGCTTTTTTGGTACTTAGAGCCTTAAAGGAAGTATATTTGCAAGATCATCCTGTGCTGTCCTCTGGTACATTATATACTGATTGAAGGAATGGAATGAAAATCCAAGGAGGGAAGCAGAAACACTTTCCTTCCACTGACAAAATGTGCATGTTCAGGAAAATTTAATAGGTAGAATTCAACACGATTACTGAGAAGAAGCATATTTATGTTTCTTACGTTGGAAAAGATTGTTCAATTCAGTGAGAAAAGGGATGCTGACATGTTGGCAAAACATGGCATATTTATCTCAACAACTAGACCTGCCCAGAGAGTCATCTAAATTTTATTCCAACTTTTTATAGTATATCTCTGAAATACAAGTCATCTTGTTCTTTACCTTTGCTTTCTTTATGCTATTTGCTATCCTATTTTCAAAGTGTGCTCAGTGATAAGGATCCAAATATTAAATGAAAACGTATGCTAATGAATACCAATTTCAGAGTTGCTATATGAGAACTACAAATCACACATTTTCCTTCCATTTACTCCCCATGATATTTAGCACACACAGAGCATGGATCCTTGCTGAACCCAGTCCTATATGCATTATAGGAAAATATATCCTAATTTGGATTTATTAAATTATGTGTTGATTGAAATGCATTCAATTCAGAAATGCTACTTCTATAAGGGTGATCATCAGGAAGTGGGAACAGAGAACACAAACATAAAGAAGGCATTTGGAAAATTTAAGAAAAAAAAAGTAGACTAGAGATATTTATACAATCTTAAAAGCTACAGCAAACAATAAATACAGAAATGAAAATGCCCTTGGGTTTTATCCAGAGACAGATGCAAACTACAAACATTCAGACTGAGATTCTCCTCATGTTCGAGGAGAAAGATTGAATCTAGGGTTCAGGTTCAAACCACCACCATTTTCAAACAAACAAAAACAATTCCTAAAAATCATTTATTTGTATTAGGAATAAAGCCTCTTGTCAATATTATACCTCAAGGCTCTCTAATTTAATGCCATTCAATATCAGAGTTGGGACAATACACACACACTTATGTTAATGAAATATGATTTTCAGATGTCCTGGGTTTGAACATTAAACAATAGTAAATTGGCTTCCACTGGGGAAAGCTACACTGTTTATTTCAGACTAACCAAGAAAAACAACTTCAGTAGCAATGCAAGTCCCTTTACCCCAGAAAGCAAATCCCATATACGAACTGAAAATGTTCTTGAAAGAAAATGGAAACTATAAGAAGCAAGCAGCAGAAGAATCGGAGAAATATAGTTCAGTCAGATGGGGACGATGACACTGGGACAGAGATAAAGGGCGAAAGCAATGGAAAATGATGAGGGGAACACCTGGAACAGAGAGGGACTGAAGATGTATAGAAGTAAGCAAGAGATATTGATAAAAACAGAGAGAATATGAGCAAGAGGTAAAAAAAAAAAAAAAGAGGCCTGGAGTCTGCAGCTGATAACAAGACTCCATAGGAGGAGATGGAGCAAAAACCTTGTAAATGAGAAAGTGGCAGAGACAAAGAGAATAAAAGAGTATCTTGCACCAAGAAAAAGGATGAAGGAGCCCCAGAGGGAGAAAGCCATGATTTAAAAGCACCCAAACCTAGGAACTGTCACCCTTACAATATTTTTTGCCTTTATTTTTTCAAACTACCGAAAGTGTTACCTAATCTACTTAACAAATGAATCAGGTTTTTAAAAGTGTGTTATGGTTTCCTCTAGAAGGAAACTGCACCATTTCCCCCAAGTTCTAAGATGTACCAGATTGAGAACATGACATGGTAATTGTTTCCAGAATGCCACCATCTAATATCAGATCTTGGCTCCCCCAACCCACCTCCTGCCAAAAAAGAAAAGAAAAATGTTCCCTTTTTAATTTCAACTAAGTTTACAGATATCAGTTAAAACTAGTATCATATCTCATTTGACGATATCTTCTACTTTTACCAACTATACATATTCTTAATATTTGTATATCCAATAGAATAAGAAAACTATATAGCTTGGGCATTAGTTTATATTTCATATGTGGAGTACTCTCTTTCACTTAAACTGCTTTAAAAGAATATGAACATGAAAGCAAAAATTTAGAAAATGATATAACAAAGTAGAGGGTTTCAGAAACTCAAGCTTTTAAAAAAGCCATTCAATTCTATAAAAGATTACAAAAGAAACCTGTGTTTTTTACCAACTGTGGGAGTAGTGGCTGCACTCAAGGAATTGGTGGATGATATGGAAGAAGTACTTTCAGCACGAGCTAAAGGTGCTACCGGAGGAGGACTGGATGAATGAATAGGAGGGCTAAAAGGCCTGGACTGTAGAAAAACAAAAAATAATGCAAGATTAAAAATATACATACTGTAACATTTACATCAAATATAAACAGATGTCTGTGAACACATTCATAAGGCTTTTATATACCAGTAATCTTAATACCCACGTAATGTGGATCTTACTGAGTCTCATACCTGTAATACAAGTGAGGCTTTAAAGAAGATAGGGCCTAGGAAAAAGGGTGAAAAACACTGTCTTGCAAGTATATTTTTATTTTCTTCTCTCGTGCCACTAAATGTTTTTATCATTTTAAAAAATGTGGCAGCGCCATAAAATTTTAAAACAAGCAGGAGAGTGATGGGAAAATTCCAGACATGGAAGGCCAAGCATGTGTTTCCAATCCTGCAACACTATGTAACTATAAGATGGCAATTTAAGACTAGAAAATGCCGGATGGACAGTATGTTATGGGTAAATTCCACACAAAGTAAATATTTCACGAGATGCCACTTGTGACTAGCATCACACACATTGAACTTTGTGATAACCCACTTGGAAGGGTAAGTGTTCATTAGGACCTAGTGGAGCTAGCCCACTGCGATGAAAATATGTTTGTATAAATTCAAAGAAAAATAAAGTAGATTATTTTTTCTATGCATGACTCTGGAACTCTTCTGCAGGCAAAACCCTCATTGGCCAGTAGAGTTCTAAACACTACTAAGGGTTCTACATGCACAGTGCTTCCAGGAATGGACTATAATTCCATAACATATTAATATACAGAAAGTTTGTAGTAATACTTTTACAGTATTACAATCAGTAAAAATCTGTTTGTAGTAATATTTTACAGTATTAACATGTTTTGTTCTTATTTATAATTATTGTAGTGTGATATACCACTAAGACTAGAACACATTTTTTCCCTCCTCACCAACCGATCAAGATTTCCCAGTCCTCCAATGACAAGACACTTAAGCAAAATACTGCAAGAGACACACTAAGGGTACGTCTAGACTACAGGCTTTTGTCGACAGAAGTTTTGTCGACAGATACTGTCGACAAAGCTTCTGTCGACAAAGAGCGTCTAGACTACATTCAGTTCTGTCAACAAAGCAAGCTGCTTTGTCGACATGGCAGTGTAGACGCAAAGGACAGTTTAGATGCAATAACGCCTTCTGTCGACAGAACTCTGTCGACAAAAGGCGTTATTCCTCGTAAAATGAGGTTTACCAGCGTCGACAAAACTGCTGAGTTCTGTTGACGTTATGTCGACAGAACTCAGCGGTAGTGTAGACGCAGGTTTAGTTTTGTCGACAAAAGTCCACTTTTGTCGACAAAACCCTGTAGTCTAGACACACCCTAAGTCCCATGCAAACAGAATGCTTGCTTATTCACTGGAATGGTCTAAGTTTGTAGATTCCACATCAAACTGGCAGCACTAGGTAAGCTCAAGGCTGGTCTAAGCTTCAAAATTTACTGAAATAACTGTTCTGGAATAGTTATTTAGGGAAATTTCCAAGTGTAGACAGCCCTTAGCATTAACCTAACATGAATTACAGTACAATTTCTGTTGGGACAAGAGCAGAAAGCTATATAATCACATCTTTGTTTCTGATGATTTTCAATTGAAAAAAGGATTTGGTCATGTACAATGTGCATGAGTGTGTCATCTTCTGTAATTTAAAGACAAGCTAAGCTTTGCTGCAGGATGCTCTTGGTATATAACTAACTAAAAATATTAACACAAATAAAAATAATTCACTTTTAAAAAAAATAATTTTGCATTGGCTTTCTGCAAACATTCTAGTGAATGAATTTAGTGGTAGGAATGTTTCAATAAATGGCATATTTTAAGGCAATGTTAGAAAATCTTTTAGGAAAGTGAATCTTTAATTCATAATCATAAGTATTCACACCAAAAATCCTGATTCAAAGAGCTAAGGTGTATCAAATCAGAGAACAGACACAATTGATTGTGTCCAATCAAAACAAACAAACAGCTCAGTCTGAACACTCACTGTGACCTGTTAGCAAGCCATCTGCACAACAACAATTATTTACAGAAACTCTCCCATGTGTAACGTTTAATGATGACTTATTGAAAATTAAATTGATTAAGATCCAGTTGCAGACTCATTTATTTGCTATAGCTTGCTCAACTCTACTAATTTTTTTTATCAGATTGGAAATACAAAATTCCTGATTCATTTTCCGTTCCCCCTCTTGTTAGTGGTTGTGAATAGGGTGAACATACCACATCACCAACCCCAGGCTTCCCTGGAGGCAGTTTTGGCCGAGATGGGGGCCGAGGTGGAGGAGGTGGTGGAGTAGTGCTGCTGCAGGCAGCCAGAGGAGTCGTTGGACGAGCCGGAGATGAAGAACCTGAAATAAACACAGGCAATTAATATAATATTAAACTCAAACTTCTCTCTCCACACCAAACTCCCCACAGTGCATTGCGTGCTAGCAAGCAAGCAAACACTAATCCAACTTCCAACTCACATTCACGGCTCCCACATTGCAAGTCAATCTATGAACGTGGCAGTGTGCAAGAATTACCAGAGAGGCCACAGTAAAACCCAAAAGTCAATTATTTGCTATGGAATTACAGAAAGAAAGTTCTGGTTTGAGCTGGTTTCATATCAAGCTCTAAATTTGCACATGCACACAGTAATGTACATTTTGTAAGTGTAATTTTTCTGAACGCAAAATCAGAAGCTAAAATTTGCTCCCTGTTAAAATTTTTTACATTTATATTTAAAGCATAAGAAATTTTAAATCTTCCTTCTTGAACGTCAGTATCATATCCGTAAATTACATGTTGACAATTTAGGAGCAAGCGGTTACTTTGTACTTCTGTTTATTGCAGTGAGTTACTATGAGAGGCAGCTACTGATAACTACAATATTCCTCAGTTTAACTTTTACAATCTCTTCTCTTTGCCCCTGATTTCTCTTCTGTTTATTTGTATGCAAGTCTTTCTTCTTTACCTCTGAATGCTTAATTTCATGATGTTTATATATTCACAGGTTTTTTGGATGAAGGAAAAAGAATGTTTAGTAATTGACATTTATTAATATATTTCCTGTAGCAAGAGACTGTTTTTATATGTACTGTGCAGATAATGCTTTTTCCTCAAGCATTATCATTGGTGTAAGACAGTTGTTATTCAGACATCTTCATGGTTATACATGAAAGACAATAAATGCAAGACAGGAGAGAGAGGGTTTTGTTTTGTTTTTTAAGCAGTCAATGAACATTTAACACAGCACTGTGTACTGTAAATCATGGAGGCAGGGTTTGGGAGGAAGGTCCATGCCAAGAAACAGCTTTTTACTCAAGCATTATTTGCTATTATGCTGGTCAGGCGTTACTGATTGGGAAGAATTTATTTTATTTTAGAACTGGAGAGATTGAATTGCTCTTATTTTTTCTCATTTTAAGTGTGGTTTGGAAAGTAGTAATGGTTTGTAAGATTGGGCTTAATTCCTGATGCTGAATACATCATATATTCAAGTTTCACTTTGGATTTTTTTCGTTTTTCTGTCATTTTTATTACAAAATTATAGTGATACTCTATCAAAACCTGGTTATGCAGCTGATACAGAGGCTAAAGTTAACAATGATAACATTTAAAGTAACTGACTCTGAATGAATACTTGAATGGTTTAAAAACAAAAAACAAAAACAACCCCCCTAAAATCCTTGGCAAAAATGGTTTATAGTGATGGGGACAAACTTTGCTTATTATTGTAAGATTGCATCTAATCATTAAACAAGAATGAGGACTGGAATGGGGAAAGGGCAAAATGTTATAAGATCTCTGGGGAGCTCAAAATAATCCATATAGTAAAATTGTTTAAAAATATAGTTACCATAAAACACAACTTTTTAATAACTGTAAAGCTCAAATGTTTCATTTTATCATTGGTGACTGTCACCTTGCTATGACAATCAACTTGGTGCAACTTAATGAAAAGGAATGAGATGGGGGACATAACAGAAAACTTGACATACTATTTTGATGTAACTAAGAAAATAGAACATACCAAGATAAGTTCAGCAATAACTGATATTGTAAAAAAGTACATTTTATACAATATTGTCAAAAATATCTTTTAAACTCCCTCAGCCCATAAACTAAGATTTACTGAAACTTCTAAATAGAAAAGATATCAGTAAGGATACATACATTGGGACTTTCAGGACTGTTTGCAGACTCATTTGTTAATGAATTTTACAGAATATTTGAAATAACTTTCTGTTTAGCACTGGAGTGTCTAATTTTCTAACTATACAGTAGAATAGGGTGCTTAGTTTTCCATTTTTCCTTTTAAAACAGAATCATTTGCCTTAAGAATATAACACTTGTTATAAAAACATGTTTAAAAGCATAAACATTTGAAAATGAAATTTCTAGAAACAAAAATCTGCACCTGTGTTACTTAAAATCTTGGATCAAAAGTTAGGCTCTGATTGTTTAAAATCCTGGACACCAGTTTCTCCACTTTGGAAATCAAGCTTCTATTTAGGAGCCTAAATTGAGGTGCCCATATCTGAAAATTTTCCACTTCAGCCCATACAAAAATTACTGCCTTACAAGAATGAAGTTATTCAATAGAAATAAAGTAACAGGATTGCAGGAATTCTAAGGGGACAGGAATATAACTTGGATTTATCCACATGAATATTTTATGTAGTTAGAGAAGCAACAACTGTTAATGTTCTAGATATCAGAATTTTAAAAATGGATTATTTTTATTGCTGAAACATTCAGGATCCTTTGAACTCCACTGTGTTTCTATATCACTTTCTGCACCAACTGAATGCAGCAGAATTCCACTAATCAACATGTAACCAAATGTTATCCCACCGCTACAAAAATCCAATTACATCTGCAGAGCTAAAGAATTCTTTGCCTTTAAAAAATGTTCTGCAATCAAACTATTTTACAGCTCTGGAACATATCCAACTAACATTACTCTATTTAAAAGTATAGCATAAGCAAAAACATTAAAAAAATAGATATGCAGCTCAGACTTGTGTGAGTATGTATGTGTGTTTCCTCAATGAACTACTGAAAGGGTTAAAAAATAGAGATTAGCCAACGAATTTGGAATGAAAAAAAACCAACCCAATCATTAACCTCAAATAAGGAATGGAAGCCAAGTCTCCACTACCTCCACCATCCTATTTAAGACACAGATGGCTCAGACAAGGACTTCTCCATCTTTTCCTCTTATGGCCTCCAACCAGCCTCTATTTTGGTGTCTGAGCAGAACCAGCAATCCCTGCTGTTTTTCTCAAACCCCACAGCTTCCGGGACTCCCCAGGAATAGAAGGACAACACATTTAGCGATAGCTGTGACCTGAGAACATCCCAAAGCAAGTGGAACCTGAATGTCCAGTTAGTCAGAGCATAGCAAACCAGGTAAGACTCAAAGGAATATCACCAAATAATTTGGAATGGAGAAGGAGCAAGGCCTGTTCAAATTTGGAAAGCTACTTATTTTAGAACATGTCAGGAGAACACAAGGATGTGGCTGAAATGAGAAGAGAAGGGACTTATATAAACCCAAGCTATCAAACTTGCCCTTCAGCAATGGTAAATATCCTCCCAACTGCTGCCCTTTAAAAGTCACACAAAGCACTTCACATCCCATATTCTTGTGGAGTGTCTTCCTACATCAGCATTATCAAAGAGGTCAGACACATGCTGACTGATCACATGCTACAAGACAATGGTCACTCACACGAGTGCTAACAACCAAATATCAGGGAAAAGATGACGGATTGTCAAAAACACAGCAAAATTAAGGAAGATATTATGTAATCATAGAATCATAGAATCATAGAATAATAGGACTGGAAGGGACCTCGAGAGGTCATCGAGTCCAGCCCCCCGCCCTCAAGGCAGGATCAAGCTCCGTCTACACCATCCCTGACAGATGTCTATCTAACCTGTTCTTAAATATCTCCAGAGAGGGAGATTCCACCACCTCCCTTGGCAATTTATTCCAATATTTGACCACCCTAACAGTTAGGAATTTTTTCCTAATGTCCAATCTAAACCTCCCCTGCTGCACTTTAAGCCCATTACTCCATGTCCTGTCCTCAGAAACCAAGAGGAACAAATTTTCGCCTTCCTCCTTGTGACACCCTTTTAGATATTTGAAAACCACTATCATGTCCCCCCTTAATCTTCTTTTTTCCAAACTAAACAAGCCCAGTTCATGAAGCCTGGCTTCATAGGTCATGTTCTCTAAACCTTTAATCATTCTTGTCACTCTTCTCTGTACCCTTTCCAATTTCTCCACATCTTTCTTGAAATGTGGCGCCCAGAACTGGACACAGTACTCCAGCTGAGGCCTAACTAGTGCAGAATAGAGCGGCAGAATGACTTCACGAGTTTTGCTTACAACACACCTGTTGATACAACCTAGAATCATATTTGCTTTTTTTGCAACAGCATCACACTGTTGACTCATATTCAACTTGTGGTCCACTATGACCCCTAGATCCCTTTCCGCCATGCTCCTTCCTAGACAGTCGCTTCCCATCTTGTATGTATGGAACTGATTGTTCCTTCCTAAGTGGAGCACTCTGCATTTCTCCTTATTAAACCTCATCCTGTTTACCTCCGACCATTTCTCTAACTTGCTAAGGTCATTTTGAATTATGTCCCTATCCTCCAAAGAAGTTGCAACCCCACCCAGTTTGGTATCATCTGCAAACTTAATAAGAGTACTCTCTATCCCAATATCTACATCATTGATGAAGATATTGAACAGTACGGGTCCCAAAACAGACCCTTGAGGAACTCCACTTGTTATCCCTTTCCAGCAGGATTTAGAACCGTTAACAACAACTCTCTGACTACGGTTATCCAGCCAATTATGCACCCACCTTATCGTGGCCCTATCTAAGTTATATTTGCCTAGTTTATCAATAAGAATATCATGCGAGACCGTATCAAATGCCTTACTAAAGTCTAGGTATATGACATCCACCGCTTCTCCCTTATCCACAAGGCTCGTTATCTTATCAAAGAAAGCTATCAGATTAGTTTGGCATGACTTGTTCTTCACAAACCCATGCTGGCTATTCCCTATCACTTTATTACCTTCCAAGTGTTTGCATATGATTTCCTTAATTACCTGCTCCATTATCTTCCCTGGGACAGACGTTAAACTGACCGGTCTATAATTTCCTGGGTTGTTCTTATTCCCCTTTTTATAGATGGGCACAATATTTGCCCTTTTCCAGTCTTCTGGAATCTCCCCTGTCTGCCATGATTTTTCAAAGATCATAGCTAAAGGCTCAGATACCTCCTCTATCAGCTCCTTGAGTATCCTGGGATGCATTTCATCAGGACCTGGTGACTTGCTGACATCTAACTTTCCTAAGTGATTTTTAACTTGTTCTTTGTGTATCCTATCTTCTAAACTTACCCTCTCTCTGCTTGTATTCACTACGTTAGGCACACCTCCAGACTTCTCGGTGAAGACCGAAACAAAGAAGTCATTGAGCATCTCCGCCATTTCCAAGTTCCCTGTTACTGCTTCTCCCTCCTCACTAAGCAGTGGGCCTACCCTGTCCTTGGTCTTCCTCTTGCTTTTAATGTATTTATAAAAGGTCTTCTTGTTTCCCTTTATGCCTGTAGCTAGTTTGATCTCATTTTGTGCCTTTGCCTTTCTAATCTTGCCCCTGCATTCCCGTGTTGCTTGCCTATATTCCTCCTTTAATGGCCATATATACAGCATGTTCAGAATTCCCCTTTTCCCTATAGTAGTATGGGCATCACTAGGAACTGCTAAGTGGCAATGGTTTTAAGATTCTTTCATTCTCATCTGCAAAGTGTGTTCCATGCTCCCTTTCTGAGGGTGTATCTACACAGCACCCTTCTGTCGAAATAAGCTACACAATATGCTTAACTTATTTTGATATTATTTCAAAATAAGGTGCTATTCTGAAATGTCCCTTGTCCCTCGTGCAATGAGGTTTTCAGAGACATTGGAATAGCAGGTCCATTATATTTCGATATAACAGGTTTGCTTTTAAGACGCAGAATAGCTATTTTGGCATACTAGAGATATCCTGAAATAGCTCTGCTGTGTAGACATAGCCTAAGTGTGGAACATACTCTTTATCCCAGTTCCCCAAGCCACTACTCTCCCCTCTCCCCCATGGAAATCCTTAGTACAAATCCAATTTTCTGCAGTGCTTATAAGATGTTTATAATTCTTACACCTCCCCACCTGAGAATTTTCTAATGGTGCTCCATCTTGTGTGTGACTACTTTTAGAGGGCAAACATTTCAAAGAAGGAAGCATCTGTATTTGTGTGCATTGTACAGAACTTGGGAAACAGCTGGTCCTAAACAAAAATATCACCAAGATCTAGCATCCCTCTTTCACAAACTCCAGCAGATAAGAAGTGCAATCGGTATCTTGCAATACAGAGCACTTTACAAACCCAACACATTAAAATCCACCACTGAAATGTTTACCTCTAGGACAGATGTTTGGTTTAGTTAAAAACCCATTTGAAAACTGGCTCCTCCAACTTAGGGATTTCATTGAGAGTTACATTCTGCCTCACGAAGATAAGAATGCCAAAAGGAGGCAAAAATCTAACTCTCCAGCTTTACATGCTCACAAACACTATAATGCTGAGCACCACAAAACACCTATACATAAAATTAACACCCTGACCTAATAAAAGTTATAAAAAAAATTAGTTTTAAGTGGGAAATGTACTAATGCAAACAATTTCAAAAGAACATGTTCTACACTAGCTTCAGTGCCAAGTGTAAAACAGGATTCTTTTTCTCCACATACCAATAACTTCTGACTTGCTTAGGGCTGGTCTACATGGGGAAGTTGATCAGCCGATCTATACCTGTCTAATTATACTCTATAGTTATATTGCTTTTACTTCCCACATGGACATTCTTATTCCAAGAAAAGTGTGCTTTTTGTTGGTTTAGAGCAGGGTTTTCCAACCTATGGATCGGGACCCAAATATGGGTCGCTATTATATTTCAAAAGGGTCGCCAGGTGTCTCCCCAGGTGGCTCTTAAGGAGCCATTCACACATTTTTTGAATTGCCGTAGGTCACCAAGTCTTCCTGAATTGTCAAAACGGGTCCCCATCTGGAAAAGGTTGGGAACTGCTGGTTTAGAGTATGATGTTATATCAATATGGAGACAGGTACCAGTATATTTACAGCAGTATAATTATACCAGTACTGCTTTGCCAGTAAATTTCCCTATGTAGACAAGTCTTTATTCATTAAAAATAAAGTGGTCAACTGTACCCCTTTTGAGAATGACACGAAAGACAGTCGGCAAACCAACCTGGAAGAAGTTAATTTGATCTAAGGAATGCATATCAATTTAGAATTAAACTGGTAAAGCCAATCAACCAGCAACTTCAAACAAAGGCACATTTTACTCTGCAGTGTTTACTTTAAAAGTCATTTATCAAAGCCTAGTTCAGCCTCGCACTATCTAGGACTCTCAAGGATATACTCAGGATGATGAAGCAGCAGAGACAGCAGAGAATTTATTGCATCACAACTTATCTGCAGGGCTTCTGTTTATTTGGCTTTGTTAGCCTTTAAGGTGACTTGGCAGCACACGTGCTGTCAGTATCTCATGTGAGCAGATAGTAAATTCAAAGAATTTCCTGTGTTACTTAAAAAGTGACAGTTCTGTTTTCTAAAAACTTAGCAAAGGTTTGTCTGTTTTTCTACTATGTGTGTTCATTTTGCAGTCCCTGGAGGACATTATGACAGGTTGGCCACTGTGCAAATACTGGGCTGTTGGCAGCTATGTCTCACAGGTGGATATCTGGGAAAGCAGTTCAAACTGGAGAGCACATGCACTTATTCAAGGCAATAAATGCAATAATTGGTGAAAAGATGTCTAGATTTACATCTTGGTGTCTGATTTGCAGAGCCACAATACCCCCTTGAATGTCAGACACTCAACAATGACAGGGTAAAAGTAAACATGATATCTAGGGCACAAGCTTGACTTGGACCACAAGAGCATTAGATGAAAAGAATACGCCACTGGAGGCACAGTACAATCAAACAAAAGGGAATGACTGATGCTTAAAAGCCAACTAAGAGCAAGTTGTGTTCACACTGCAGCAAAAAGGCATTCATGGGCACACTGAAGCACACTCAAGCTATAAAACATACCGCTGGTGCTTCCTGTGCCACTGCTAGAGCTGGGTCCAGGTGATGACACCACTGTTCTGTAGGTAGGTGGCGGAGGGGGAGGTGGTGTAGCTCTCTGTCCCAACCCAAAATCTTTAGGAGATGCAGCTGATTCTAAGTTATCATCTTTAACGTGGGTTTGCTCAGAAATTTTCTTCTGAACCTCTTCTAAATTGAGAGGTGATGGAACATTGCGAGAGGTTTCAACAGCTGGAGATTCAGCTGGGATTTCTGATGCCACAGTTGGGGACACCACTTTTTCCCTTGACGTCAATTCAGCAGTTATGTTTTCCGGGGACTGATCAGAAAAATTGACCCACTTATCTTCTGCGTTAACAGCAATAGACCTGGGGGATAATACTGGACCAAAAATGCTGTCCAAGTCATTGATTGATGGTAGTTTGTCACTTTTGACCTCTGTTGCTGTCTGGTCACTTCCTGTGGTCAAAGTAGTTTATTTTAAACTTTTATATTGATTGGTATAGCTGAAGTTGCACTATATTCTACATTTATATGGGGCTTGCAAAGTCAGCTACATTCCAGCAGAGGTACTTAAAAAGCATGATTTCTTACCCATTACTGGGGACATAGTTCATGTGCATGAAAATACCTTCATAATACAGATATGCCCAATGTACAAAAGCATACATGGGATTGAAATATATACATTGTATGAAAACAGCATGCACTAGATAGCATATATATCTTTCTTGTATACTACTTTACATTTTATCTGCATCCTACTGTAACAGATAATTGGCTAATAATATTCATTAGGTACTGTCTAAATAATTTAACATTGTGAATTATTGCTAATATTAAAAATGCACATATAGCACAGTAACCTCAGATTCACGGAGATAACCTGGATATTTATACATGCACAAACACTATTTTGGAGCACTTTTAACTTTAATCGTGAACTGAATCATCACAGATCATGTGTTATTTATTTTTGAACAAATCTAGCCTTGTAACCAATATGGAAATAGAATTCATCAACACAGCTATATTGCAGCCAATGGAAATTATTCCACATAGTCCTCTAGTACTCATTTTTTTGTCTTCCCTTCTTACTGTGGAAAACGGATGATCAGACTGGACACTTACACAGTATAACATCTTTTAGGGAAGATCTCAAAGTTAAGCCAGCCTAAACACATGACAGGGAGGTTGCATTATACCTAGTTATTGAAGGGTTACACTGAACAACAGCAGTTAAAGTAATCTGTCCAAAGTAACAAAGTCAGTGGCAGAAGGTGGTTGAACCTAAGAGTGGCCAGGAATAACCACTACCATAATGGCTACTTACCCTACAGTATACATCCGTCTACATCTATTGCATATTCTTAGATTTTTGAAAAACCATCTTCTGTCTAGAGAACTGTATTTTAGGGACTGAAATATATTCAATTTTAAAGGGAGATGTTTCCACATTACCACACTTGATATACATACTGAAATATGCAGCAAGCCAAAAGTAACAAATATATAGTCACGCACAGCTGTGTATTTTGTTTGCTCTGGTTGATGAATGCTATTTTATGCAGCTAGACAACTGCCATCTGACTACATAGATAAATAATGGAATTATGAAGATACATTAGCGTGAATAAAGATATTGATGAACAGAGCACTTTCATTGACAGAGATTCTATTTAACTAAGTGGCTAAATGTTTTAATTCTATGTTCATGTTGTGTAGTGCCACTATTGTTTTCCATACAATGCATCTGTTTCAAAGAACAATGACGGCATTTCTTTATTCAAACATATAGTTCTGATTTTAATTATAAATTTGTTTCTGCTAGCAACATATGGTACCTCATTTATTCCTTTTGCATTCCCTGTAGCCTAGATTTCATTCGCCAGACATATTTATTGGTATTATAGTTAGCTCTGCATGGATAACACTGAGATTTACTAATTCTAGATTAGATCCTGCCTTTGAACCCAAGCCTCTCATTGAAAAGCAACAGGAGTTTGGGGTGCAAGAATAACAGGATCAGACATCAATTTGCTCTGAGAAAAAGGATGTTAGTTTTGTATCCATATTTCATAAGAATTAAACCTTTAAATCATTTTAAATTAAAGTTAAAGTCCAATTTACAGAGCTACTATAACAATTTCAGGTATAACTTTAGAACTAGTGCCACATTTCTTTACTATAATGGCTCAGTATTAGAGAAAATAAACCAATAGACAATAAAGGTGACAAAATCATTCAAAAACCCAGGGCTCTGTATGTAGGACTTAGATGGTATAATTTTGAACACAATGGATGCTAAAACATCTGAAATACAAAGGAAAAATAAAATGCATGTGAGTTAAACATATACAAATATGTTCAAATACATGGCCATTGTGCAGATTTCCTCAGAATGAACCTGATTTTGTAAGCATTTACACATAAAGAAGTTACACAGAAGTCATTTGGGTTTCTGGAGTCAGTAGTTACAAGATCATGCTCAGTTATGCACAATATATGTTTATGCAGTCTTCTGTCATGAGCAAATAAACATTATGCCTCAGTCTTACCTATTCCAACTGTTAATGGAGAACCCGTCCTAGGGTGCTGAAAAACAGGCCAGAGGAAAAAATAAATTCAAGAGCTACATTAAGTTAATAAGAAACTGTGTGTTCAATTTTTTGTAGGTTCCCACTGTTCAGAGTGTCCCTTTTTTATGCCATCAAAGATACAGAGCTGGTAAAGATTAATTGCACACTTGTCCCAAGATTCAGCAATGTGACACAGAGATAATGTCTATGACTGCTTTTTAACATGGTAGATTTTAAAAGTCTTGCATAATTAAATGATGATTATAGGGCAATTACTGTATCTCACCACTATTTGGGGAACTCACTAAATGGTTAGTCAGTCTCAGATATATTTTTCTGTAAAACATAATCTCAAATCATGTTCCATTTTTAAAATTAGCATTTCAAAATAAAATTTCTAACATTACCTATGAATGTAGTTCTAAAGTACCACCTAGCACCTAGTGCAGTGGTCACCAACCAGTAGATTGGGAACTACTGGTAGATCTTGGAGCCTCTGACAGATGATCTTGACTGGTTTGGTCAGGAGGATATCAAGTACAACACTTCAGCTGCCCGTTCTCACACTGCTGCTCATCTCCTCCCCTTTGCCTTTGAGCTGTTTCTCTCTCCCACCCTGTATTTTATCTTCACAGAATGAAGGTGGGGGTCACAACAGGGTAACTGGATGGAGGGAGTTTGCTGGCTGCTTTTGAGAGTGGAAAGGCCAGGGCAGGGGTGAGCCTGCCTTAGCCCCGCTGCACCACCATGCAGGAGCCACTTGTGGTAAGCAGTGTCCACCTGGAACCTGCATTCTGAACCCCTATCCCAGTCATGTACACCCTCCTGCACCCCAAGCTCCTGTCCTAGCCCTGAGCACCCCTAGACCCAAACTCCCTGAGGAATTCTCTACACTGCAGGGTTTTTGCACAAGAAGCTTTTTGCAGAAGTGATCTTCTGCAAAAACTTCTTGCACAAAAGTGCATCCACACCTCAAAAGCGCATTGCAAAAGTGATGTGCTTTTGTGCAAGAGAGCATCCAGATTGCATGGACATTCTTGTGGAAGAAAGTTCTGATGGCCATTCACAGAATGCCTATGCTTTTTCTGATAGGCTCTTTTAGCGCAAGAAACTGCTGCTGAGCATCCACACACACCTTTTTGTGCAAGAACTCTTAGAATCATAGAATCATAGAATAATAGGACTGGAAGGGCCCTCAAGAGGTCATCGAGTCCAGCCCCCCGCCCTCAAGGCAGGACCAAGCTCCACCTACACCATCCCTGACAGATGTCTATTTAACCTGTTCTTAAATATCTCCAGAGAGGGAGATTCCACCACCTCCCTTGGCAATTTATTCCAAGATTTGACCACCCTGACAGTTAGGATTTTTTTCCTAATGTCCAATCTAAACCTCCCCTGCTGCACTTTAAGCCCATTACTCCTTGTCCTGTCCTCAGAAACCAAGAGGAACAAATTTTCTCCTTCCTCCTTGTGACACCCTTTTAGATATTTGAAAACCGCTATCATGTCCCCCCTTAATCTTCTTTTTTCCAAACTAAACAAGCCCAGTTCATGAAGCCTGGCTTCATAGGTCATGTTCTCTAGACCTTTAATCATTCTTGTCGCTCTTCTCTGTACCCTTTCCAATTTCTCCACATCTTTCTTGAAATTTGGCGCCCAGAACTGGACACAGTACTCCAGCTGAGGCCTAACTAGTGCAGAGTAGAGCGGCAGAATGACTTCACGAGTTTTGCTTACAACACACCTGTTGATACAATCTAGAATCATATTTGCTTTTTTTGCAACAGCATCACACTGTTGACTCATATTAAACTTGTGGTCCACTATGCCCCCTAGATCCCTTTCCGCCATACTCCTTCCTAGACAGTCGCTTCCCATCTTGTATGTATGGAACTGATTGTTCCTTCCTAAGTGGAGCACTTTGCATTTCTCTTTATTAAACCTCATCCTGTTTACCTCTGACCATTTCTCTAACTTGCTAAGGTCATTTTGACTTATGTCCCTATCCTCCAAAGAAGTCGCAACCCCACCCAGTTTGGTATCATCTGCAAACTTAATAAGCGTACTCTCTATCCCAATATCTACATCATTGATGAAGATATTGAACAGTACGGGTCCCAAAACAGACCCTTGAGGAACTCCACTTGTTATCCCTTTCCAGCAGGATTTAGAACCGTTAACAACAACTCTCTGACTACGGTTATCCAGCCAATTATGCACCCACCTTATCGTGGCCCTATCTACGTTATATTTGCCTAGTTTATCAATAAGAATATCATGCGAGACTGTATCAAATGCCTTACTAAAGTCTAGGTATATGACATCCACCGCTTCTCCCTTATCCACAAGGCTCGTTATCTTATCAAAGAAAGCTATACAAGATAAGTAGTAATTGTCCTGTTCTATTCATCACTGGCGAAGCCTCAGCTGGAATACATTGTCCAGTTCTGTGTGCCACACTTTAAAAAAGATGTGGCGAAAAAATCAGAGAGCCCAGAGGACAGCAACAAAAATGATAAAAGGTTTAGCAAATCAGACCTATGAGGACAGTTAAGAAAAACTGGGCAGAAGACTGCGGGCCATCTTCAAGATTTATGGGGCCCTATGAAATAGTGTTAAACTGGTGCCCCTATCCAACACACTAATAAATTATTTTTAAAGCAAATTTTAAACTAAGGTCCTGTAGACTAACACAGTAAATCCAGAAACTGACACTATATACCTGGGAAAAAAACAAGGAGTCTGGTGGTACCCAGACTTTGTGTTTTTGCTGAATCAGACTAACAGGGTTACCTCTCTGAAACATAGATAGTTGGGGTTGGGAAATTCCTGTTAAATGGCTTCATTATCACTTGAATGGTTCTTTCACAGATTCAGTGTTCTGCTAATAGACAGCCACACCTTTTTTTCTTTTAAATTGACTAGATCTTCTCTGGAGGTAGTAGAGCTACAGAACAGGGATAGGAGGAAGCAGACAGGTAGACATTAAGACCTAGTGGTGCCCCAAATTTTCAGGTCCCCTGCACAGCTGCATATTCTGCATCAGGGTAAGCACAGTTCTGCAAATAATCTTTAAATCATTAAGAGATATTATAAAGACGAGGGTGATCAATCATTTTCTATGTTCACTGAAGGTAGTACAAAAGCAATAGGCTTAACCTGAAGGAGATTTAGGTTTGATAACAGAAAGAATTTTTCAAACTATTGAGGACAAGTAAGTATTGGAATAAGTTTTCAGGAGGTATCCCCATGACTGGAGATTTTAAAGAACAAGTTAGACAAACATTTGGAATATCTAGGTATATTTGGTCCTATCTCAGTGTAGAAGGCTGGAGTAGGGGACCTCTCAAGGTCTCCTCTAGTCCTACATTTCTGTGATTTCTTCTGGAGATATAACTGTAAATCAAGCTTAGAATAATGGAATCTTTCTTGGAGATAAAGCAAGCAGACAGTCTAATATTCTTCACATGCTGTATTTGTTCCTAGATCTCTCTCTCTCTCTCTCTCCTTCTCTCTCTCTCTCTCTCTAGATAAGTAAGACTCAAATTTAGCCCTGAAAGTTTAGATATGTTACAGAGATGAAGTGCATTGTCTCCTCCTTCATTCTGAAAGCCATCCATCTAAATACATTATTAAACTAGATGTCTCCTTTTTCCATTCTAGTAGGTTGTCAATAAAGTCAGTCCAGTAAAAATAAATTAACTGGCTACATGATTACATTGTTAGAGATAATTTCTTAGTATAGAGTAGACCAAATAATAAAAATGAAACATCTGCTTTTTTCAGACTGATAATCCACACTTAACTTACTTCCAGTTGGAAAAGGTCTTGGTAGCTTTGGAGACTCTAGATTTGAATTCTCTGGCTGGACCAAACCCCATATCTCAGTCTGATCTAAAGGAGCTAAGAACACAGAAATAAATCACAGGCACCAAAGGAATACAAAGGATTTAATTTCAATTAGATAAATCACTAATTAATAATGAATGCCAATTTTTACCAGACAGAAGATACAAATATTCCATCAATACTTGGATTGGCTCATGCTTCTCCCAGACTCAGTGTCTGGCTTGAGCTGATGCTCCTCTTAAAAGGGTTTCAAAACCCTAGTCTATCTGCCTAATACAGAAAAATCACATTCACAAAGGAAAATACCAGAACATTGTATCCTCTGGGTTTATATTCAACAGAGAGATACTCCAGGAAATCCTTTGTGGTTCTGTTTATATTGGATTGAAGGGCCTATGCCAGGAGCAGAGGATATCTCCTATGAGCTGTGATTATGCCTTGGTTTGTATCAGAAATGTAAGATACTTACAAAAATGATCATTAAAGAGATTTTATTTCATGAGCGAGTAATTACTTTGCATGCATTGGAAGTACTAGTTAAAATGTTTATTATCAATTTATGATCTGTAAACTGTGCCAGGATAAGAGTTACTCAGGGTGCAATGTCTAAACGGCAGGGGGAATCATCAAGTGTATTTGTTGCACATTTGATTTTATTACAGAATTCACTGTAAAAGGCTTATTTCAAACTAACATTTGTGTTTTCTTAAATGGCCAGGCTAGTAAACAAATAAGCAAGCAACACACCCCTCCGTTGATTTTCATACCTTCCAATTTTTGTTCCGCAAATGCTGTCTCCAGTGGTGGGCCAAACAGTGGGGCCAGAGCTGAAGGATCATCTGGGGCTTTTTTGCTGCAGGATAATACAAATATTAGCATGAGGAATATAAGGAATAAACTGTACATGGGTTTAAAAGATAAAGAGGTCCTGAGGTGTTAGCATCTCAGTGCTTCTTGAGGGATTAAAGGGCTAACTAATGTGCATGCATACAGCACACCACACTGCTGCCAGCATTGATTAAGTGTCTTACTACATAGTTTGCTAGTGGCTGACCCACAGGGAAGATGACTACAGGGACTACAGAGGTGCAAGCTACAGCACACACCAAAACGTTACTGCAACTGACCCACATGGTAGCTGCTGGCACAATCTGAAGAATGTTAATATTGTCCTCTCTGAAGAGAGATGCTCATGCTAACCTTTTAGTTCATGAGATTCACATCTCCCTCCCATGGTTTCAATGCGGTACAGCAGTGTTTCCCAATTGGTGCTCAGGGAACCCTGGGGATCCGCGAAGTGAAAGCAAGGGTCCTGCAAAGAGCTGGCACTCCCCCACCCCCTGTTAAAGAGACAGAGCCATGGCGAGGGCTTTTTTTTTTTTGCTCAACGAAACGCAGCAGGGACCTTTTTTAATTTTTATTTTATTAAGGCAACTCTAGGGGTTCCGTGGCCAAATAAAATTGGGAAACACTGCGGTACAGTGTAGACACAGCCAATATGAAGATTCACCTTTAGTTTAGTTGACAAGGAGCTGTGGTATTATAGCAGAAGTGCCAGACCTCGGTGGCAATGGACCCATTAGATTTTTTAGATACCACACAAGGTACTAGGCACTAGAGAGAGAACTAATGCAGACAGATTGCACAGATAACTCCAGTTAATACAAACAAGTATTATTCTGGATATGAATTACTTGCACATCTGTGGCAGAATACAATCCTTAGGGTGATGTCTAACATTAAATGTTGGGCCTAACTATCTTTCCCTTCAGTTTGCAAAGATTAGAAATTAGGAGACCTGATTGTTTAATATTATCCCAACATGAGTTTAAAAACTAATATAAATGGAGTGGGTACCTCAGCAGGCCTTTACTTTTGCATTTGCTTTAGGTATGCTTCTATATCTATTAAAATTTGTATATTATGCCTATGATAAGAACATTTCTTTACCAAGTTGTTATAGTGAACATGAGAGGAAGCATCATTAATAAATACAATCAATAGCATTTATATAATATTTGATTGACCTTTCAACCAAAGGTCCAAAAGTCCAATTACACTTTAGATACCCATCACTGAAACACAGCAAAGCCACCAGTGAAATTAAATGTGGCATTAGGATAACCAGACAGCTAAATTGTCACAAGTTAGGACCTAAATATAGCTAAATAAAACTTTATCATCAGCCTTAACGCTCACAGTGAACTCTTCAGGTGAGCAATGAGTCATCCTGATCCTGGAGGCAGGAGAATATATTGATATAATTATGTCTCATGGAAGGCATTTCTACTTTTTAAAATCCTTCTTACACTTATGATTGACTTCAGGAAATAAGATGAAATGCTAACGATGGTGTATTAAATAAATGCTTCTTTCCTGAAGTTGATACCAAGAATGGTATCAAATCTAGATAGTTTTGCCTATTTTCATGAACCAAACTTATAGGCTGTGTCTACACTGGGCCACTTATTCCGGAAGAGCAGTCGCTTTTCCGGAATAAGCTGCGAGCTGTGTACACTGGCCCCTTGAATTTCCGGAAAAGCAGTGATGATTTACTGTAAGAAATCAGCTGTTTTTCCGGAAAAACTATGCTGCTCCCGCTCGGGCAAAAGTCCTTTTTCCAGAAAACTGTTCCGGAAAAGGGCCAGTGTAGACAGCACAGTAGTCTTTTCCGGAAAAAAGCCCTGATGGCGAAAATGACGATCGGGGCTTTTTTCCGGAAAAGCGTCTGTGGCCAATGTAGATGCGCTTTTCCGGAAAAAAGGCTTTTCCGGAAAAGCAGCCTGCCAGTGTAGATGCTCTTTTTCCAGAAATACTTATAACGAAAACTGTTCCGTTTTAAGCATTTCCGGAAATTCATGCCAGTGTAGACACAGCCATAGGGTAGTTGTGGGTGTTAGGTAATAAGTTAACTGTTCATTTCTATCTGTGGCATGAGGATCTGACTAACCTTTAAGCAATATTTAGATTAAAAGTTACAATTTCTTTCATACTGACCTTACAAGTTCTGGAGTTGGGGTTGAACGCCTTGGTCTTGCTACTTCTTCACCTGTCACATGTGATACTTCTATTTAGATCATTTCTCAATCTCAATTTTTCACATGAATGACTCAAAGATGTGGAACTAGTATGTTAAAAATTAAACTTGACACTATGACATAAAAGTCAGAGTCTGAGAGATCGCAATTCATAATAAAGTTATAAAGTGTAATTCAGCTCCTCAATATATACAAATATATTAATCTCATCTCTCTCTACACAGGGATTTACAGTATATGTATAACTCCTGATTCACTGAATACATATATTCAAGGTGTATGTTGCCATATACCAAGCCTATTGGATAGTTGTCTGCAGAGAAAGCAGACTTTTCTGAGTTGAGAGCACAAAGGTGTAAGCACTAGCTTTGCCTTTGCCATTCCTCACAAGTCCCAAACACAAAATTGTTGATATTGGGCATTCTAATTATCAGCATCTTGAACAGGGTCGTATGCCACCAACCTAGAATGCTCCATATGCCTTTTGCAGTGAGAGGCATCACATTATTGAAAGGTGGAACACTATGTACAGCCGTTCAACAACACACACTGCATCTTAAATCCATTTAAAGGATTCAGTCATTAATCATGCAGTATCTCAAGTTCTCCTTTAAGATTTATTCTTTGGGAAATGAAAGTTTAAGTGTACTTTGAAAACTAAGTAGAGGAACACATATTTTGAAGTAAATTTGCCTTCTTTAGAGGTTACAAGAAAAATCAGTCTTGAGATACTATCTGTTCCTGCAAGCTAAAATATATATGTATATACTTACTAGATAAGTTCCTTTTAATTGCACCCTGGAATTAGAAATAGACACTAAGGTTTAGGACCAAGTGAGCATAATTTATACGTAAAACATGTACAAAGGTGACATCTGAATTTGATTAAGACAAACATCAATACTAAGGAATAATGAAATTTGACTCCAATCCAACATCCTGACTGGTAATTACCTTTATGACACACAATTACACTACAGGGCTAGTCCCATTCACTCATCAAGGTAGAGCAGTGGAATCACACATCACAGAGGTTTATCCAGAAGCCTATAGAGCACTCCTGAGGAAATGGAAGAGAGCAGTGGTGCTACCTAACCTGACCAATCCTCAGCAAAGTCAGCTAATCTCTAATTCCACTGCAGTGAGCAATGGAGATTGAAGAGGTGGGGGAAGGAGGGAGAGAATAGAAGGGCAGGGAAGACAAGGTGAGGGCATGGTTAAGAAATAGATATCTAAATGCAACTGATGTGAATGGCAGCCATTTTCAGGATGTTCATTTATTCCTACCACCTGATGAGGTAGCACCTATTCCTGAGTTCTTTAAAGACAGCTCATAAGCAACAGGGCTTGGGCAGCTCTGGAAGAATACTTCAGAAGGGTCTCATGGAACACCATATGTCCCAAAACAAACAGCTCAAGGCTTTAGCATGTGTGCTGAGCACAGTGTGCTTGCAATTATCCAGAGGCACCTGTTCCTTTTGATTTTCTACACCATGTTGGACTGTGAGAACAACACTTCACCACACTAAGCAGCCCAGTAACTCGGGCCTGCTCTCATAACTATGACACTTTCCTACTGCTGCTAGATTGAACCCTGAGTGATTCATACCAATACATATGTATTTGAACAAAATATGTATATTGAGTTCTTTCTGACATATTCAGAAGTTACCAAAAAAAAAACCTATTACAAGCTCACACCAAATAAAGTTACATTCATTTACTTCACTATAAATACCTAGGAAAAGAGATTTAAGGCTAAATAAACCAGACCAGACCACAACAACTAGTCATCCATTTTCACAACACTTGTGAGGTCTATAAAATTGTAAGAACTCTTACCGGGCTGCGCCTCTGTGATCAGCAAGAAGGAAGAGAGAACAGACACCTAGTCAGAGAATGACAGATCAGTAAAAAAAGATTTGGGTAACACGAGATTTTTTTTTAATTAAATAAATACAATGTTTTGTAAAGTGAACTCTCACACAATCACCCGAGTTTGTGCTTTGCTCATTAATGGTGATTACCTTGATTGTGCTTTATATAGTCATTGTAGAGATTTACAATCTAACTACAGCAATTTTGGGAGTAAACTACATAAACACTAAGCTCCACAATCACACTGGGATAGGAGAGGTCTACTGGGGTGCCTGAAGTTTCCAACTGTATGTGTAATAAGTACCTCACTCAAGCATCTCTACAAGCATCTTCTCCCTCCCCTCTTTCCACTGGAGCTCTTCTCCTCAGAATTCAGTTCTGAGTTTACAAACCCCCTCACAAGTACCTTTCCTCTCTTAGGATACTGGGTAAGCAGGTGGGCTAATTTGTTTTGCTCATGTTGTCCTCCAGGTTCCTCTATCCTTAGATACAATGTGTCATGATTATGAGGGTTAGCCAGCAGCCTGGGGATTAAGGGGTTAACTACACCTAGCCAGGTGGGAGTGACCAGTAGGAATGAAGGTGGGACTTTCAAACTGGGACAAAGGAATTTGGGTTTTTTTCCTTTCTCCCTTTTGTCTCTCTGGGTGTCCTCTGCAGCTACAGAGAGGGACAAGCATGTCTCTCTCTCCAAGGCACCATTCTTCATTTTCTGTAAGTAGGGTAAGGTTTAGGTAGTTTCCTTAGGCTTTATTGTTTTAAGGGTTGGATATGGGATCTGAGATCTGGCACTGTTTAAAGATGTTTTGGCTTTTCTTTGTAACTAAGTTCTAGGCCCATGGAGTTTCTCCATGAGTATATTTTGTTACCTTCCTATTTAGTCATTATGCCATCAACAGGAATATTGTTGTAATAATAAAAGTTAATGATCTTTCCCCTGGTTTCTTTAGCAACATTTGGGTGGTGGCAGCGGAAGTTTTATTCCCAAGATCTAGGTTTTTAAGATTTTGGGGGAAGTTTTATACCAAAGCCTGGTAGATAAGGCTTTGGGGTACACTTGCTGGCCCCCATTTCTGCATTTATCATGCCAGAATGGGGAAGAAGCCATGACACAAGGCATCTCACCATACTATCAACTCACAGAGAGCAGAGAAGCTGGGAGAGTGCACACCAGTGAAGAGTTGCCTAACTGTGGCCACATAAAAAGTTTCAAGAGAAAAACCACAGGAGAAAAAAAACCCAGGAGATTTTTTGAGGACATTTGAGAGATGGTAATAAACTTGTGGAGATTTAAGAGGTGTGCCCTCTGACTTCAAGATCAAGTTCCCTTCCTCTTGTTCTGTCTTTTTTGCTTGCAATAATTCCTCTGTTCTTTAGGATCATGCCATAAAGTAAAGCTGAGTCAATGGATATTTTTTCAAGAGAAAGTGCACTCTTAACTATCATTAGGGGATCATTACAACTAGAGAGTGAGAAAGTTCTGAACATAGGTGTGCTCAGTTGTATGCAAAGCATGCTAAAGTGTCCTTGTCCCAAGAAGCCAGTAGCAATGTGCAGACCATATTATTATCCAGGCATTATAGATGAAGAAAATAAAGAGAGACAGAGGATTAAGGGCATGACACTGAGGTGCTGAACATCCTTAATTCCCTCTGAGCTGAGAAGTAAGAATGCTAGGTATTACCAATATTAGCTCACTGCAGGACTGGGAGCACATGATTAGCCCAGAGAGAGTCATGATTAGCTGCTATTAGAACTCCACAGTTTCAAGCTCAAAGTCTCAGGAACTAAACACTAGGTCATGCTGTTTTGCTACAGTAAAATATCTACCAGAAAAAAAAATTGTGTCCTACTGAATAAGTTCATTTTATACCTTGTTCCTCTAAGCACCTGGAATTGTTTCTGTACAATTTTCAGCCACTGTATCTATCCTCACACCCTAGGACTAATAAACTAGAGGTAGTGTGACTTGTATGTCTCAGTTCAAATATCTGACCAATCACCCATTGAAGCACTAAGCTTTAACTAAGATATAAAAGCACTGAGTGTGTAGCTTGCAGCACTATCTTTTCACAGCTAGACACCTGCAGTTAAATTCCAGGTCTGATCACAAGCAAACAGCAGTTGGCTGGTTTCATTTTAATCTACATTTATAAGTCACAAAATGCTACAAAGCAATTTGACAGATAATAATTGAAAGATGGACAGTTTCTTCTCAAGATGAAAAGTCAGATTGAAGACCTATTTGGAGCTAACAGAACTCTTCCTCGAGGAAGAAAAAACCTAGAATATAAAAGAGATAAGCATAAATCTGAAAGATTTGAACCACCATTCCCTTATTGAAAAATGTATTTAACTTATCAGGCTACCGGAAGCCTTTTGTTAAAAGAAATTAAGTATATTTGAGAGCTAAGTCAGGAGTCAAATGGAGACCATGTATCTTAAATACCCCTCAGGTCTTACACAGCTCTACAGAGCAGTTTAATGGGTTATGCAGGGTGTAATGTCATCCTCAGGCAATTTTAAACTTTGAGAATATTACAGAAAACAAGTCAGAAACTTCCTCTGGAAAGAAATTCTTCAAATGCAAATCTTCATGGGATAAAGAAACTGCAGCAGACCAGCATCTATTTCAAGTAGGTGACAACTAAATATCACGGTGATGAGTGCATTATAGAAGCATTCGTGAAAGAGAACTGGATTGGAAGGCAGTTGATTTAAAATAAAAGGGAACAACAGGTTAAAAAAGCCTCTACGAAAGGTTATCTTCAGGAGAGGAATAATTATTATTAACAGAAAAAGGAAATATTTCCTTGGAAATTTTCAAGTGATCAAAATGAAAATCACAGGGTTTAAGAACTTGCTGTCCCAGCACAATGACGACCCTATTATTAATAGGGGAAAATACTTGTTAACGTGAATCAGCATAAAAAGTGAGTGAGGAATGAGTGAAAATACTGAGCTAGAGGCAGATTACATGAAGAATGGATTATCGGGGGAGCATTTATTCTCACCCCAAAAAAAGTCTGAACTTGTTGTTCTGGCTCTTTCTACTGTACAGAGGAAGGCAAGTGGGTAGCAAAACAAGAAAGAATATAATAAGCCAGAACTTTTGTGTATGTTTCAGATATATAATGGGCTGGAAAGTTGTACATATACATGGAGTCATGTCTATCAGTATTCTCTCCTATGTGTTTTCCAATTAACACAAAAGCCCTAAAGAGGTCGTGGAATTTCTGTCACCGCAGATTTTTAAGAATAAGTTAGACGAACACTTATCAAGAATGGTCTAGTCATTACAAAGTCCTGCATTAAGTGTAGGGGACTAGACTAGATGGCCTATTGAGGCCCCTTCCACTGCTTTTCTAGGAGTCACTTCTATGGTGCTATGAAAACAGGCCGGCCTTTCAGCAAGGTGAGTGAGGCAGTTGCCTTGAGCCGCATGCATTCAGGGCCCTGTGGCCCCATGCATTCAGGGCCCCATGGCCTCGTGCATACAGGGCCCCGCGCTGCCCAGCTTCCAGGCCACCCAGCCAGCCTCTCACTTGCTGCCCTGACTGGGAACCCCACAGCCGTGTGGCTCAGCCAAACACAGCATGCTGCCTTGGACCAGGCCTGTATGAAAAGCCCTTACCTATTTAAAGTACACTAAGTGCCAATGAGAAACTATTATGTGTGTACCCCTCAGTTATGTTATTAGCTTCACAGACCATATTTGGACAACACAGGATGTTATTTCTTTGGCTTAGATTCACTGTTCTCTTTGGTATCACTATAACATTGCTGCGGATGCAAACAGTAAAGATGATGCCAGCATAGACAAGCTTGGCTCAGTGGGTGGGAGGCGGGGTATGATTTACAATATTCTGTAGCTCCCTCATCCTGAGTTTAGGAACTCCAGCAACCTTTGGATATCCTTTAAATTGCATCTAACTGCCTATGACTCCTAAGTGCAGTACCAATAGCTGGGAACCATGAGAGCACACTGGTGCTCCTGTACACATCTCTTACAGTTACTATATAGTGGTTCCTGCTATGCTAAAGAAATCCACAAAGGGCAGGATCTTCAGGCATTATGGGGAGCACAGGGTGGGGGTTCAAGTCCCACCCCCTCAGCAGCTCAAGTCCTGCCCCCTCTCCGCCCACCCTGGGAGTGACCAGACATCCAGGCCAAAGAAAAGCAACTAAAGGAAGGCTGAACATATGGCCCATTGTGTGTGCATGTCTATAACTGAATGTATGTACATGTACAATACTGTGTGTTATAGCAGAGATAAGTTGAAACATATGGATAAAATTAACAGTTTCGTGAAATTACTGATAAAGTTATGAGTAAGATGCTACATATTTTTCAAAACCATTAATATTCCTCTCACACCCGCACAAATATCTGAGACAGTCTGTTTGTGTTAATTAATTTGATACAAAAGTATTAACCATTTTTATGACAATGCTAAGCTGAACTGTGGTGCAATATATGTTGTGGAATTTCAGAACTTCACGTTATCAGTCAAACATGTTAAAATCATAACTGCCTCAGGCATATTCTTGTTGTTTCTCCAAGCCCCACAGTTTGATGTACAACAAATACAGGACTGTTCAGCTCATGTTTTATTGGACTTTTCCCACATCTCTGTGATATTTGTTGATGAATAGCTAACTGTACCACTCAAGTTAATCTTTGCTAGGTTCTTAGAATGGTTAGTCTTTTTTCTATTGAATGCAGGAACTGGATAAAGTGAAGAAAGTTTTTTTAATATAGTAGATGTGATGAATCTATTACTCCAACTAGGTTTTAAATGTTAGGTATTTGTTCACAATTTGCATTTTTTTTCTGCTTTTATTCCAAGAAAGACTTTTCCAATGTTTGGCCCATCTTCATGGGGCCACATGTTGGGGAAAAAACCCTCTTTCAGAACATCCCTTCTTCCTCATAGAATGAGGTTTACAGGGATGCCAAAAAAGTGTGTCTGCTTTTTCGAAATGTTTTTCAGAAAAGTAGACGCATTCCTTGGACATGGCAGAGCTTTTCCGGGATCTCTCTGTTATCCCGGAAAAGCTCTACAGTCTAGTCATAGCCTCACTTTCCAGCCTCCTAAACCCTATCTCCCCATTATCCTAGTGTCCTCTCATTTTTTGGTCTTTGCCCCGATCCATATTCTCCCCTTGATCTGCATGTATTATTTCCATGAAAGTTAATGGGAATTACGTGCACAATGAAGGCTAGGCCAGACCTCTGTTTCTTTGGTAACTCATCTATCCCCTATGGGACAAATCAAGTTCTCTCTCATTTTGCAGCAGGTAGGCCATTTTATATATACATAAATGCAGCTATTTATACTTTACAGCAAAGGAAACAAGTAAAGTACGGGGGGTGTGGACAATGTGAAATTCAACAAACCAGTGACAAAGTCCAGGACAACTGGATAAACAACAGTACCTTAGATAATTAAAGGAATATTTAAAAAAAAAAAAAAAAAAAAAAAAGACAGGAGAGCATTCAAAATTCTGATTTAGATTTTCTAATAAAATGTGACTGTTCTAGGTGAGTTGTTATGCAGACAATTAAGAGTACATCTGCACTGCACGGCTATTTTGGGATATCAGAAAGCAAGAGATAATGTATGTAAGCTAGCAGGAGAGTTCAGCTTCAGAAAATGACTTAATATGCCTAACAACTTATCTATCAGCTCATCTTTCAAACTACCTCTTATCCAGACATTAAATTAACAAAACCTCATAAGACTCCCCCTTGTCAGCAAAATCATTGTTTTATAGATGGCAAGTGAGGCAGAAAGTTCAAAGGACTTAACCAAGGCAACAGAAGGAAATGAGACTAGACAAGACAAAAAATGAGAAGTTTCTCTCGAGATCCAGTGCTCAGACCACACATTTCTCATTTAGTGTTCAAAACTCTGGGAAGGGCTCAGAGCACCAGAGCCCAGTGACACCTGGCTGTAAACCCAGCTCCAGCATGAGGGGGGAATCTGACCTAGGGCATCTCCACACCAGCTCCCTGCTGCCTGTAGAGTGGGGTGGTGCCTGAAGCCAGGGAGAGGAGCCAGGAAAGTTACGTTATGGCATAAAAGTTTGGCATTGTTATGGCAGGAAAGTTTATCACCATGTCTTTAGCAAGAACACATTAATATAGTTAATGTTACTATAGTTGCAAAATTTATGCTGTAGAACTACTGGTTTTCTCATAATCTGAAAATAGGACATACAATGTAATGTGCATTATATGTACCATGGGAGAAATCCTGGCCAACTCAAGTCAATAGGAAATCTTTCATTGGTTACCCTGAGAACAGGCTTTCATCCCATAAATCTTTGGGCAAAAGCATCCTCCAACTTTCCTGGCCTCACACAAGCCAAAAAGGGAAATAATTAAATTGAATGGAAGTGAAACCTAGCTCATCTGAAAAATAACCTTTGAATTAAATCCACAGGAGAAAGAATAGATGCCATCACTTGTAAACAACGATATACAGCATTTGCATTTTACATTTCTATTCTATAAACAAGTGAAAAAATGGATAGAGGAAACAGAAAAACACCAAAGTATTTTTTAAATGTAAAGTTATCAAGAAGATAGAAAAAGATCAAATTATTTCTTACCGGACTTTTCCTCTAAAAGAATGCAGCCAAAATAAAAAAATAAAATGAGAAAATAAGATATTTTCTTAAAATAATTAACACCTGGAGAACAAAATAACTCTGCTTTTTCAAAAATGTAGACAAGAGCCTACCTGTTAAATGACAGCAAAGTAGTAATATTTAGTACAAAGAATGTTATTCAGGTAGACCTAAGATTATAGTGCAAAATATCATACAATACATCATCGCTTTTATTTAAGAATTTACAGAAGTCATTACAATAGCAATATTTTATTTTTAACTATAAGTTTTTTTCAATTAAAAGTTTTATTTCTTGACAGGGTTCACATGACAAGAAAATACAATGCCATATCTACAAGCTTTGACAACTACAAGAATAATGAAAGGCTACCAACACTCAGAGCATGGGACTGTGTCCTGGGCCATCTTGACTAATAGCAATTGATGGACCTATCCTCCATGAACTTATCTAGTAGTTCTTTGTATCACTATATTTTTGGCCTCCACAACATTCCTCAACAACAAGTTCCACAGGTTGACTGGATTGTGTGCAGAAGTACTTTCCTTTTTGTTTGTTTTGAATATGTGGCCTATTAATTTCAAAGGGTGACTCCTGATTTGTGTGTACTGGGAAGGGGTAAATAACCACTTCCTTATTCACCTTCTCCACACCATTCATGATTTTGTAGATCTATCTCCAATTAATCATCTCTTTTCCAAGCTGAAGAGTCCCAATCTTTTTAATCTCTAATCATAAGGAACTTGTTCCATACCCTTTAAAATTTTATTGCCCTCTCCAAAACTTTTACAACTCTTTTTTTGAGATGGCACAACCAAAAATGCAGTTCTTATCAATCAGAGAACTATCCACAGTGAATCTAAGATCTCTTTCTTTAATCATAAAAACTCCGGTAATCTGATAAAATAGAGCTATTAAAACTTAGCAGGAGGCTCTCAGCTGTGCTCTCACCAAATAACTGCAGAGTTCTCATCTCTGCTACAGTCAACAAAAGAAGGTTTTGTTTGACCTCTGTGTAAGGATACAGTTGACATTGGCAGGACAACATCCCACTGTTAAAATGTCTGAGTCTCACTCCAAAGCAGCATACTTAACAGTCTTAGAACTACCTGAGTAGCTGGAGTTTTATTTTTTATATGAAAAGTGTGACAAGTCACTTTCCATATTCCTTTCCTAGGGACTGTACAGTTCTTTTTATTTCTATAGGTTATTTATATTTCTAGACATGTCTAATATATCTTTCTGGCTTCTTTAGACTGAAACATCGTAATTTTTGCAAAAGAATCAAGGAAGGCTATCAGAGTCCACATACACCTGGGTGTTTCCCATCATCCTTCTGGACAGGAGATATATTTTAAAGAGAGCCATGACAATGGTAATTAGCTAAATGGGTTTTGAGTGAGATGGGCACACACCTATGGTAGGGGAAAGGATAGCTATTTGAGAAACAAATGTAATGTCACTAAGACTTAGGAAAGTAAGTAAAATTCATTTATTCATGTCTGAATGGTGGTAACACCATAACAGAATTTTGGAAGCCTTCACAGTCCATTACTACCTTTCAATGTTCAGCAGCTTACCTTCCAGTCATCTGCCACACCACACGCCATTCACTGGCTGTCCTCTATCTATAACCACCTTTCATTATTCCTATAATAAATTTCTAAAGGTTATTTCCATCTCTGCACCTAATGTGACCATGTTGATTTGTTTATATGAGAGAATGGGATGATTAGAACTGTACCAACAAGATCCATGTTTGTCATTTCATTTTTGGGCTTATTTCAGTTTGTTGCTCACAATCCTGCACTACATGCGGACAAAGGCTTAACATACAGGGAGAGAGATATGGCTCCTTCTGTTTACTATAGTCTGCTTCATTTTATTTGAGCTTGACAAGGTAAAATGTAAACAAGTAAACAAGAAGCACAAATTCATCTGTTACACTCCAAAACCAATGGGGGTAACTTACCTGTGCCCACTTCCTGCTTTCCCACTGTACCCCCTTAGACCTTTTCATCAGAATCCCAAACCCTTAAAGAGAGACAGGATGCAGGTAAAGCAAATCTAACCTTGACATTCTGTTAAGATGTTATATACCTACATCCTGTCTCTTTAAGGGTTTGGAGCTAGGGAAGTTGTACAGATTCCTTCACTAGAGGGTTTCAAAAGGAGGCTGGATTGCCAGATGTCTTTAGATACAACCAATTTTGCATCTTGTCAGAGGGTTAGACTGGATGACCCTTGTAGTCCCTTCTCACTCTATCATTCCGTGACAATGAAAATAGACTAGGTAGTTTACTTTTGATTAGTCACTAAGGTTTTTTTTAATCCATTTGTACAAGGATGCAATGCTGCAGATTCAGTTCAGTTTTCTTCCATTCTGAAAATGATACATTCTAATCCTAGCTCTTGTGTAATGCTTATCACCAGTGGCTCTTAAAGAACTTTACAAAGGATGTCACTATCATTTTAACAGATGGGTAAGCTGAGGCAGAAGGTCACCCAATAAGCCAGTGGTAGAGTTAGGAGTAGAACCAAAGTCCTTGTCTAGCACTTAAACCACCAAACCACACACACTCTAAATTAACTATTAAAAACAAAACTAACTTGTTAAGGAAACTTTTAAAATCCATGCATTTTTAACCTTGTGGTGTTATTTTCCCTAAAATTTCATTGACAGAATTAGATACCATAATGGCCCATTGGAGTGAAGCAGACAAATTGTAACACGAGATTAAAAGGAATAGAGTTTAGTTGAACGTAGGCTAAAATTCTTTCAGTTTGTGGACATGCACTTCTATCCAGGGGTACTCAAACAGTTTGTATAGTGAGGATGCTGAGAACCATTGAGCCAAACTTGTAAACCTGACATACGACTGAAACCACTTCAAGCCAGTGAGTGCAGCAGCATCCCTAAATCTAGCACCTATGCTTGTAGGTTTATTTACAAGATAATATTAACACATTTTCAAGGAAGTGCATGTAGTTATTGAACCAGAAAGGGGCTCTTTTATATGGGCCAGATCCCAAGGCAATCATAATCTGCAATCCCTCCCTGGAGATGATTCAGAAGTCCAATCCTAGAATCACAGATCCACCTACCGTAGATACAGACATTTCCTGGCATGTCAGCAGCTGCCAGTTGAGAGAAAGTTTTCTTTTCCCTTCCTTTTCTCTTCCAATCGCTTTTTCGAAAGCGGGTTTTTCGAAAGTTAAAGTAGTCTGGATGTGGGTTTTTTTGGAAAAATCCCCTTTTTTGAAAAAAAACAACAACTGAGGTTTACGCCGTTTTTCGAAAAAGGGTTTTTTTTTCCTGAAAAAAAAAACCACATCCAGACTACTTTCACTTTCGAAAAACCCACTTTCGAAAAAGCGATCAGAAGATATGCAAATTAGCACCAAATTTGAATATCTCCTTCGAAAAAAAAGTAGTCTAGACATACTCTCTCTTTCTCTCTCTCTTCTCAGCTTTGAGGACAAGGCACTTATCCTTGAAGCAAGCCGCTGCTTGATGGAGGATATGGCACCACTGGGGTCCATTAGTGATTTGCTCCTGTTTTGTGATGGCTACATGAGTTTTCTTGTGGTAAATACACTTTCAGTGGGTCTTTGTAGCATTTCCTCTGATCACCATGGGATCTTTGACAACGGGCGGGCTCAGAGTAGAGGGCTTGATTTGGAACGTGAGAATCTGGCATCCGCACACAATATCCAAGCCAGAGAATTTGGTGTATGAGGAGTCATTGCTCAAGCACTGCTGACACTGACTTCAGTATATGGGCCAGATCCCCAGGTGCACTGTGCCTGCTTCATGCCACAATATCACTGTACTAAAATTGCAGAAATTGACTAAGGGAGGCAGGGAAGATCAGCAGTATGTCATGTGGTACACCCAAAGGAGGGGCTTACCTGTCACATGCCTTCCTTTTTCAGTGTATCAGGAAATTGGGACACACTTAGAGTATATATCCGCCATCCAGTCCTGGACTAAGTACTCTATCCTTCATGGTTGCTATACATGTACAGCAGAAGGTCAATGTACAGCAGAAGTCCAGTCCTCAGGCTAGTTTAACACAACATATGGTGGTAGCTGCTGAGAACAGCACCAGAATCAGAGCAGCACACAAAGGAGTGCTTTATGTCAGTGGTATCCACTGACCCTTGACTTCCACTGCATGTATTCTGGGAGTGTATAGGAAGACAGACCATATAAAAATCCAGTTAATTTAATGTTAATATTTAGGGTCAGATTCTCCAGCTGATGTGAACTATGGTAACTCTTCTGAGCTGGCTAGAGCTATACTGATTTACAGCAGCTGAGGATCAGGCTTTTAGTATCTTTCTCTAGCCAATTTCATCTCAGACTAATTTTTCTTTCTAATTCATATATTTCCTTTCTGCAATCAGCATTACAGCAAGTAGCTTCAAGTGTAATTTCCTCCAGGCAATGTATCAGGAAGCCACGTGCGCCACAGAACAACAAAGCCATCATTCTGCATGATTTACAGTCCCCGCATCTCCCATGGCCCAGGAAACGAGAGTCCCAAAATGACTCTTGAATCTAGCTTCCGCACATAACAACAGAATACGCTGCTGTCCTGCCTCCAAGCCAGCTGCAGCATCTTTACAATTTCATAACAGTACACGTCAGCTCACTAGAACAAAGACTAGCCACAAACCAGACTCCTGACACGTTTGCATGCAAAAGGGAAGAGCTTCATGCAGTAGCAAATTAACAAACATAATGTGTTCGCAAGGGGACTAAATCCTGCTCCATATTATTCGAAGGCAAAACTCCCATTCAGTGGGAAAAGAATCACAGAAACTAGAAAACAGATACTCATTTAATTTGTACGTGAAAATAGGCTTTGACCTTGCAGTGTATTTAGAAGAGTGTGCCTATCTGTGGAATTTCAGTTCTCATTTCATCTTCAGGTACTCAAGGCACAAATGAGATCAAACGACCACACAAGCCTAATTACTTTTATGTTGCTTCATGTGAGGGTTTTTTTTCCAAAAAATCATTAAAGCATGGTAACAGCTAAGAGAAAATGTGATTGCCAAGAACCAACCACGTTTTGATACTCTCTTAATGTACCTCTATTTATTTGCAAAATGTTTCATGATCAATAATATTCTGCAGCATGAGCTCAACCTCATATTCAAAAACTGTAGGGCAATTAGATGACCAAAGTACAAAATTACTTGATGAGTTAGTCCTATACATCTGCCAGTAATGAATTATGGATATATGAATTATTAGTGTGAGTAAGAGAGACACACCAGATATATTCACAGTGGACTACGGTGGCAAAGAAATCACAGAGATTTGGTTTAGATGATGTTGCATGATCCTAGAAACTCTAATACAGGTTCTGGCCTTTGAATGTTAGACTTCAGGAAGCAGCCTGGCTACAAAGCGGAAAAAGCATTTTTTAAAAAAATCACTAAATGGGACAATTATTGGGGTGAAATTTCCATAGAGAAACTGCACAGATTTCATCCCAAATCTAAAACTTCTCACTTCATGGAAGGATTAATGTCTTTTTGTTAGTTGCTCACAAAACTTAGTGATGTTGCACTGGCCGAAGATAAGGGGGAGGGGGCAAGAATGCAGTTTTGTTTCATTTTTAATTTGAGTTTTTGAGTTGCAGTCACATCCCAAACTCAAAGCAAGATACCAGGCTTGCAAATCCATGCAACTCCAAAAATGTATTAAAAAAATATAAAAAAAATGTACCTAAACCCCTTATGGAGAGAAATCACAGAGCTTTGCAAAGCTGAATAGTTTGGAATAGCAAGTCAGATATTTTGGCAAGCCTTGAAAAGGATACGTGGCAATAGAATGTAAAACAGGAAAGATGTAATGAAATATGATCCTTCCTTTTAGAAATCTAGATTTATTTCTTTATTAAGTAATGCGCATGATGATGTAACGTATATCAGTGTTATTACAAAGAAGAGTAAGTGCCTTTGTGCTCTCTAAAGTAACAGATCGAAACAAAAGGTAGTTCTGACAGATTTTTATGTATGGCAGAAAATGAAACAAAAATTAAAATTAAGATGCGAGGATGAAAGGAGGAAGGTGAAATCAGGGAATTACATTGAAGGCCTAATTCAAATCTTTTGCTATTTTTACATTTTGTAATACCAATAACTACAGTGGAGTTTCTCCCAATTGTCTTATTGCTCTTACAGTACGATCTCAGTTACTCAAGTGTCATGAAAGATACCGTGTTAGTCTGGTGTAGCTGAAGCAAAATACAGGACTATGTAGCACTTTAAAGACTAACAAAATGGTTTATTAGATGATGAGCTTTCATGGGCCAGACCCACTTCCTCAGATCAAATAGTGGAAGAAAAGGTTGTGACTATTTTCTTCCACTATTTGATCTGAGGAAGTGGGTCTGGCCCACGAAAGCTCATCATCTAATAAACCATCTTGTTAGTCTTTAAAGTGCTACATAGTCCCGTATTTTGCTGATGAAAGATACCGAATGCCTATTTTCCCACATTTACCCAGGCTAGGTAGTAACTTTTTACATGAGCTAACCATTCCATTGATTTCACTAAGATGACTCATAAAATGATACTGCCCAATATAAGATTGGTAGTATCATATCTTAAATTTTCATATCTGAGGGAAATTTCCACACAATTAACAGATATACGGGGAGCATGACCCTGTTTTGCATAACAGGGAGTATCAGATAACTGGAGTTTGGATTGCCCAGATTTGTAATAGCAAATACTAATTTTTTTAAATAAAAAATAAGCAAAAAGTATACATGGACTTTGGTCATTTGGAGATGTGTGAAACTCACTAAAATAAAGGTCAGGGCTAGGCAAGTTGTTATAAGAAGACTTTTCATTAAATTTTAACACATTTAAGGAACTTCATAATATTTTAGCACATGCTGAAGTTAAAACTTCTATTAAAAATCATGTCACTTGAACTCCAAAAGCTATTCCTGGCTGTTGGGTGACTAAACTAGATAAAGCAAAAACAACTGTATTTAAGTAGGAATCAGTTTGACTTTGAGATTAACAGACTTTCCGACTACTAATACAGTTAAGCAGGATCGCCAGTTATTGTTCTCTGAACTCTGTAAAAGATTAAAACACAAGGGACTCACCACTGGAGATGGAGAAAGTGCAATGTTTCCTATTGAGGCTTTCAATTCATCTACAGTTGCTGCACTCTTCAGAATGTCTTTAGCCTGCAAAGGCTTAATCTTAATGTTAAATTTCTTGTGTGACTCTCCTTCTTCTTCTTCTGATTCACTTGAGGAATAAAAGTGCTTTCCTTTGGTAGGTAGATCACAGTTAAAGAAATTCTTGTTCTGCTAAGAGCAAGGGATTTTTATACAGAGTGGAAGCAAAACAAAATCCCATTCACGGGGTCAGGTTTTCAAAAAAGTGCCCTACTCCCATGTTCCAAAGTGGAACTTAGAAGCCCAAATCCCTCTAGTTTTCCAATAAGAGTGAGCTTCCTAAATCATCATGGAAAATGGGATTTAGATGTTTTTGAAAATTCTACCCCAATTGTACACCTGAAAAAATGGGTAACAGGACACACATTTGCCAATCCTGTCACTATCATTCCATTTTGTGATATTCATATATAATACATAATAAAAATAGAAAATACACATACACACCAAACAGTATGGATGTAACTTGCTGACTGTTTATAAAAGTGAGTAAAACTTTATTGAGGAATAGCACTAATTAACAAGCAAGTCTTCTTCTCTCACCTGTCAGCACTGTACCAGTTTATACTCTATATACTAATACATAGCCAGGATGTTTCAGTGGAAGCAAAGGAGGACGTTATAAGCCTATTTGCCTACTGTCTACTTACTAAAGGCTGCTTACTGCACTGATCAGATTCTTGTTTGCGGCGTGGCTGCTTTGTATCACACCATTGACACAGACTACCTGTAAAGTTGGAAAACCAGTAAGGGAGATCACCCCAGAGCAATGGGTGAAGCACCAAATCTGAGGCCACTAACTTTCCCTGTAATAGGGATAGACAGTATGCTTGGAGGAAAGAAATATGGTCACAACATCCCTTCACTGTGTCAATCCTCAGTTTAGTTTTATATCCTGAGATAACAGAGTATCTCACTCCTGGCCAGCAGGAGGGAGATGATGAAGGGAGAACAAATTTGAGCTTTAAACCCACTTCTTATTCACACCTCAGACTTGTGCTCAGTGTGTCACAGAGGAGGAGATGGGCCAGTGTGTATATGTTTTTTACACTTTGAGAACATTTAAAATGTTAGGGCTCTCGGTACCAAGTACAGGATGAATCTCTCTTGTTCGGCAACATCCATGGTCCTATATGATTTTAGTAGCCAGATGTACACCTATCATTGGCGTGGCCCAGTTTTTCATGGTCCCATAAAGTTTGTTTATGGACACCAGTCCTGGTTCTCTATGTTCTCTGTGTTATTTATCTGTAAATTATCCATATATGTTTGCTAAGAGACCGCCAAGCAGTGGAAATGCTGGTAATGCCACTAAGCATAAGCATGGCTTTTATGATTTAATTGGGATTGGTCCTGCCTTGGGCAGGGGGCTAGACTTGATGGCCTTCTAAGGTCTCTTCCAACTCTATGATTCTATGCTTGATCTACTTGTTTTCTTGTACCAATACAGTACAATTGTGTAACAACACTAACACTTTGATATGAAGTGAGCTGATAAGTCTTGGCTAGGCATAGGCTTATATAGCATGTACCAGTACAGTCATACATACATTATTAAGCAGCATTGCAAGCGTTGTTCTGTTTATTCACCTTGGTAAAATATACAAAGAGAGAGACCTACTCACTACAATATTGACCTCCTGTGGTTTGGCAAATTCTCTGATACAACACCAGTCAGGTCCTGAGGGTGCCGGACTAGAGAGGTTCACCCTGTAAATAAATTGTATGATATCTATCTTAAGGGTTTTCTACAATGCCTATCACAAGCTAGACATATGTAGTTTAAATAAAATATTTATCTACACTTTCACAGCCTGTTAAACGTCAGTGTAAATAGACGGTGATTTTCAAAAGACAAAGTCATGTTTGCTTAGATTTGGTTTCACAAAAACAAGATGTCTCCTCTTGCTCCTGTTTATGTCCATATAAATGGATGTAATAAACAGTGTGACTACAATACTTTGCACATTTCTATATTACCTTCCATAAAAGAACCACAGCATGGTTTATAAATACTCACTTCTGTCACTAGTTGGTTGAGAAGCACAATAGTAGCAAACCCATTTTATAGATGGAAAAACTGAAGAATAGTGGTTAGGTGACATGCTGAAGTGTGTCTATGGCAGAGGTGAAAATGGTACTTAGAATTGAGAGATCTGGGTTCTAGTAAATTATGATTCCTACTTTTCAAGACTCATAAATGTAATATTTGCTCAGCTCTCCTACTTTTAATTTTCTCTTACATAGCCAAAGGCATGCTGCAGAGAGATGCACTGCTTCCTTTCTCCAATGAATGAACGCGCTGCTTCTGCAGCCTTTCTAGTTTCTGCCAAACCAAAGAAAAAGGCTAGAAATCTGCTTCTATTCACTGAAAGCATTATAATCACATCTGTTTTAGTGGCATGCACTGAACATAATTATTCCTCAGTGCACTTCCTAGCTATTTACTCCTTTCTGTTAATTTCCTATGAATAAAACACGGCAATTAGAAGTGCCTTCTAGTTAACTGTATCCGGTGATACTCCACTGTACTTTACATTTAATAATAGTGTACAGAAAAATAAGGGAAAAATTTCCGTGACCATTCCATGAACCCAAGCTCATATTACAGTTTGCAAACTGAGATGCAAGGCTAACAATAAAGGATATAGCCTGGTTCTTCTGGTCTGATGCTGTATCCCTCTTCATCAAGCTCAGGTGAATTCTGGTGAGGGGACAATAAAGCAAAATAATTAAGTTCTTGCTAAACAGTTTATTGAAAAGCAGCTTAAACTATTTCATCTCTTGGGAGGATACTTCAAAGGAAACACTGGGCTGATTAAATAGTGAGCTTTACCCAAAACTAATAAAAAGTAGAATGAACTGAAGAAAACCCTTTGTTTACAGGAGGCTTAACATGGCAGTAGCAGCTCTTGCTAAAATTTGTAAACTACCCTACGATGAAAAGGTAAATGATATTGTTAACAACTCAGGCAGTGTCAATTAAATACATTACACTTATACTTGCTATATCAGCTATGTGCAACACTGATAAATGGAACTGAACCTGGAACCGCTGGAGCTTAGTACATGAGTCTCTACTGCTTGAACTAAAAGCCAGCTGGCTGTAGAGCACATTCATTCTTTCTCTCTGTAAATGGTTTAAGTGCCACTACATGGGACAGTAAACCACACTCCATAGATGTGGGGGTTACATATGGATTTGGAGAGAAAAGAAAGGTGAGATTATAGGAATTGCAAAGGATTTTAACAGTCTTGCTTGGGTCACTACAGAAACTACTGCAACTATGGCCTGCAGAATTAAGCAAAAGAAAGTGCTGGAGAAAGGGATGGAAACCAAAAATAAGTAGGCATGTAGTATAGAAACACTACCTTTCTAGGGACGGCTATCTACTCAAGAGAGAATACATTCCAAAATAGCATTTGACCCTGCAGACCCTGTAGAATAGGCTATAGAATCAGACTTGTAGACAGTTAAGGCAGAAGTTATTAGTGCTTGTCCACACTACCGGGCGGGAGGGGAGAATGGATCTAAATTAACACAACTTTAGCTACACTATTAACATAGCTGAAGTTGACATGCTTAGATTTACTTTCTGTGGTGTCTTCTCATTGGTGTGTTGACGAGAGATGATCTGCTATTGACTCCCCATGTGCTTCTTATTGAGGGAGAGTATGAGGATCAATGGGAGAATGATCAGTGATCAATTTGTTGTGTCTATACTAGACACAATAGCTTAACTCCCACTGGACTGATCACTGCCCCATCGATCTTGCCCATAGTTTTGAACTGGTTAGTTTCTTCACAGGTAAATGTTCTCAATATTCAACTGAAATTTTTTTTCAATTAACTTTGACATATTCCATATTGACGGTATAATTGCTCTCAAATAGACCTCTTCTTATTACTCAGGGTAATTGGGACTTAATGGGTAATTTGAGCCACCTAGTCTCTGGACAGTTTTATGCAATCTAATTAACATGAAGCTATAAAATATATTTCAGGGTAAGGTTAGGTTTCAACTACACATTTGTAGGGTAATAAAATACC